GCCACGAGGCACAGAGGTTGACACACAGGGACTTTCCAATTATCCAACAGTGGTACTGTTCCTTTACCCTTGTGGGTAATAATATGGTAGCTAGACCTTCAAAATTTATGGGTCTAAACTTTGTTAGTGCTGTTTCTTTGCTATTCTTTTACCCTTCTTGGTCAGAGCGATGTAGTGGGAGCTGCAAGCTTCACGTGCTCAACTTTGGCAGAGAACTTTGGCAAAGTTATCTGTGGTACCCATGAGCTATTGCTGCGTGTGGGAAGTGGGTGATTGGACAGTAAGATTCATGTGTTTTTTACTTCCCCAGAAGTCTTCGACAGAATACCCATAATTTCCGTAAAGCTGAGTGTACGTGTGACAGGTGCTGACAAGGCTGGAAAAGTAGGTGCCTCTTCGATTTCTGAGATCGGCCCTCGTGGTCTCTGAGGAGCCCAGCTTTTGAGGAAGCGAGCGCCTCTTCGATTTCTGAGATCGGCTTTCGTGGTCTTTGAGCAGCCCAACTTTTGAGAAAGCAAACACCTCTTCGATTTATGAGATCAACCCTCGTGGTCTCTAAGCAGCCCAGCTTTTGAGAAAGCAAACGCCTCTTCGATTTCTGAGCAGGCGCCTCTTCGATGTCTGAAGCTCCGTCGAGTGCAGCTTTTTATAGAGGCTGGCATTAAGTTCCAAAGCACACTTGAATCTCCACCAGTAGAAGCTCCATTCTTGCACTTCTAAGATCTTGATTTGTCCGACCTCTTCTCTCTTCAATACCTTTGAAAATGTCTGGCCCCTCCGACCGTCGTTTTGACTTGAACCTTGTTGAAGAGGCAGCCCCGCCTTCTCCAGACAACATATGGCGCCCATCCTTCGTCTCCCTTACTGGTCCTCTTACCGTTGGGGATTCCGTGATGAAGAATGATATGACCGCTGCGGTGGTGGCCAGGAACCTTCTCACTCCCAAAGATAACAGACTACTTTCCAAACGGTCTGATGAGTTAGCTGTTAAGGATTCACTGGCTCTCAGTGTTCAGTGTGCAGTTTCTGTGTCTAATATGGCCCAACGCCTATTTGCTCGAACCCGCCAAGTTGAGTCATTGGCGGCCGAAGTGATGAGTCTCAAACAGGAGATTAGAGGGCTCAAGCATGAGAATAAACAGTTGCACCGACTCGCACATGACTATGCTACAAACATGAAGAGGAAGCTTGACCAGATGAAGGAAACTGATGGTCAGGTTTTACTTGATCATCAGAGATTTGTGGGTTTGTTCCAAAGGCATTTATTGCCTTCGTCTTCTGGGGCTGTACCGCGTAATGAAGCTCCAAATGATCAACCTCTGATGCCTCCTCCTTCTAGGGTTCTGTCCAGTACTGAGGCTCCGAATGATCCCCCTCCGATGCCTTCTCTTTTCTGGGGCTCTACCGACTGCTGAGACTTCTCCTAAGCAACCTTTGTGAAGGCTCCATCTTGTTTGTTTATTTTGACTCATGTATATGTACATATTTGTAGCTTATCGGGGATATCAATAAATAAGTTTTCCTTCATTTCAACGTATTGTGTTAAATACACCAAAGCCTTCTTCGCTAAGTTCTTTGAATTTTCTTTTGTTGAAGCTTGTATGTTGAAGCTTTCTGAGTGGAGCATGTAGGTTGGGGTAGTGTTCCCTTAATTTTTTCGAGTGAGGAAAACTTCTCGGTTGGAGACTTGGAAAATCCAAGTCACTGAGTGGGATCGGCTATATGAATCTTAGAACGCCATTTGTGCTCGGTCCTGTGTCATGTCCTTCGTTAGATCCAAGTACTCTAAGTCTTTTCTTAGAGTCTCTTCCAAAGTTTTCCTAGGTCTTCCTCTACCCCTTCGGCCCTGAACCTCTGTCCCATAGTCGCATCTTTCTAATCGGAGCGTCAGTAGGCCTTCTTTGCACATGTCCAAACCACCGTAACCGATTTTCTCTCATCTTTCCTTCAATTTCGGCTACTCCTACTTTACCCCGGATATCCTCATTCCTAATCTTATCCTTTCTCGTGTGCCCACACATCCAACGAAGCATCCTCATCTCCGCTACACCCATTTTGTGTACGTGTTGATGCTTCACCGCCCAACATTCTGTGCCATACAGCATCGCCGGCCTTATTGCCGTCCTATAGAATTTTCCTTTGAGCTTCAGTGGCATACGGCGGTCACACAACACGCCAGATGCACTCTTCCACTTCATCCATCCAGCTTGTATTCTATGGTTGAGATCTCCATCTAATTCTCCGTTCTTTTGCAAGATAGATCCTAGGTAACGAAAACGGTCGCTCTTTGGTATTTCTTGATCTCCGATCCTCACCCCTAACTCGTTTTGGCCTCCATCTGCACTAAACTTGCACTCCATATATTCTGTCTTTGATCGGCTTAGGCGAAGACCTTTAGATTCCAACACTTCTCTCCAAAGGTTAAGCTTTGCATTTACCCCTTCCTGAGTTTCATCTATCAACACTATATATCGTCTGCGAAAAGCATACACCAAGGAATATCATCTTGAATATGTCCTGTTAACTCATCCATTACCAACGCAAAAAGGTAAGGACTTAAGGATGAGCCTTGATGTAATCCTACAGTTATGGGAAAGCTTTCGGTTTGTCCTTCATGAGTTCTTACGGCAGTCTTTGCTCCTTCATACATATCCTTTATAGCTTGGATATATGCTACTCGTACTCCTTTCTTCTCTAAGATCCTCCAAAGAATGTCTCTTGGGACCCTATCATACGCTTTTTCCAAATCTATAAAGACCATGTGTAAATCCTTTTTCCCATCTCTATATCTTTCCATCAATCTTCGTAAGAGATAGATTGCCTCCATGGTTGAGCGCCCTGGCATGAACCCGAATTGGTTGTCCGAAACCCGTGTCTCTTGCCTCAATCTATGCTCAATGACTCTCTCCCAGAGCTTCATTGTATGACTCATTAGCTTAATACCCCTATAGTTCATGCAATTTTGTACGTCGCCCTTATTCTTGTAGATAGGCACCAAAGTGCTCGTTCGCCACTCATTTGGCATCTTCTTCGTTTTCAAAATCCTATTGAAAAGGTCAGTGAGCCATGTTTATACCTGTCTCTCCCAAAACTTTCCACACTTCGATTGGTATATCGTCTGGGCCTATTGCTTTTCTATGCTTCATCTTCTTCAAAGCTACAACCACTTCTTCCTTCCGGATTCGACGATAAAAAAGAGTAGTTTCTACACTCTTCTGAGTTACTCAACTCCCCTAAAGAAGCACTCCTTTCATGTCCTTCATTGAAAAGATTATGAAAATAACCTCTCCATCTGTCTTTAACCGCGTTCTCTGTAGCAAGAACCTTTCCATCCTCATCCTTGATGCACCTCACTTGGTTTAGGTCCCTTGTCTTCTTTTCCCTTGCTCTAGCTAGTTTATAGATATCCAACTCTCCTTCTTTGGTATCTAGTCGTTTTATACATATCGTCGTAAGCCGCTAACTTAGCTTCTCTGACCGCTTTCTTCGCCTCTTGCTTCGCTTTTCTATACCTTTCACCATTTTCATCGGTCATCTCCTTGTATAAGGCTTTACAACATTCCTTCTTAGCCTTCACCTTTGTTTGTACCTCCTCATTCCACCACCAAGATTCCTTTTGGTGTGGGGCAAAGCCCTTGGACTCTCCTAATACCTCTTTTGCTACTTTTTCGGATACAACTAGCCATGGAATCCCACATTTGGCTAGCTTCCCCCTCTCTATCCCACACACATTGGGTGATTACCTTCTCTTTGAAAATGGCTTGTTTTTCTTCTTTTAGATTCCACCATCTAGTCCTCCTTGGGCACTTCCAAGTCTTGTTCTTTTGTCTCCCTCTTTTGATATGTACATCCATCACCAACAAGCGATGTTGATTAGCCACGCTCTCTCCTGGTATAACTTTGCAATCCTTACAAGTTATACGATCCCCTTTCCTCATTAGAAGAAAATCTATTTGTGTTTTTGACGACCCACTCTTGTAGGTGATCACATGTTCTCTCTCTTCTTAAAGAAGGTGTTGGCTAAGAAGAGATCATATGCCATTGCAAAATCCAAGATAGCTTCCCCATCCTCGTTTCTCTCCCCAAAACCATGGCCACCATGAAAACCTCCATAGTTGCCTGTCTCCCTGCCCACGTGTCCATTTAGATCTCCTCCTATAAATAACTTCTCCGTCTGAGCAATTCCTTGCACCAAGTCTCCAAGGTCTTCCCAAAATTTCTCCTTCGAACTCGTATCCAACCCTACTTGAGGTGCGTACGCACTAATCACATTGATAAGTTCTTGTCCTATTACAATCTTGATTGCCATGATTTTATCTCCTACCCTCTTGACATCTACAACATCTTGTGTCAAGGTCTTGTCCACGATGATGCCAACACCGTTTCTCGTTCTATTTGTGCCCGAATACCAAAGTTTAAACCCTGAGTTTTCTAGATCCTTTGCCTTACTACCCAACCCACTTAGTTTCTTGTAGGCACATAATATTTATCCTTCTCCTCACCATAACTTCCACTACTTCCATAGATTTTCCCGTTAAGGTTCCTATATTCCACGTTCCTAAACGCATTTTGCTCTCTTGAACTCTACCCTTCTGTCCTAGCTTCTTCACCCTCCCCCGTCTAATAGGATCAAAGTACTTCTTTTGTGTGTCCCGTGTAAAGTTGATAGGAGCATATGCTCCCAAACAACTTTGAGTGGAGTCGTTCGAAAAGAAGTTTCTACGGCCCCCTTGCTCATTTAACACTGCATCCGGGTGCCGATGGAGATACAGCGACCCTTGCTCACTTATCACTGTGCTCGGGCCACACAGCGCGCCACTTACGGGTGACGCCCTAGCTTTAGCGCGATTTTGTTCTGGATTCATTTTCATAAGTATTCGACGTGATCATGGAGTGCCGGCTGTCGACTACCTGACGCCCTCCCCCTCCTCCTTTATCCGGGCTTGGGACCGGCAATGTAAAATTACATAGGCGGAGTTATGTGTATCTATTTACATGAACTAAAAATGAATATTCCCACTTGCTAAGATCCCCTTGAAGATGTCCAGCAATGGGAACATCAAAGCAGCCGTGGATATTGGCACGCTAATTGTAACAAGAGCTAGCATTCCCAACGCCACGCTAGGCCTAGTGTTCATCAATTGGGATTGCAACAACCCCACGCCTTCGCAGATGTCCCAGTTGTAGTGTGCATAATATTGCTTCTCCCACCGCATCCAGTTCGACGGCGGTTGGTGATTGTCTTCCTCCAGCATCTCCGCGTCGTGAATTCGCATCCGAAGCACAATCATGTCCTCGTCCACAAGTCTACCGTCGTAATTGTCATGACCACGCGACGACGCATAAATCGTCAGAGGACGACGCCTACGCCGCATTTCCAGCAACCCGGTCTTTCGGTTAACGCCGGAAATGAAACGCTGCGGTGGCGGAGCTGAGAGAAGAGCAGAGGTTAGCGTTGATGTAGACATGATGACAAAGCTTGCACCTTCTCGAAAGTTTGATGATTAAGATTTTGATGTGTGTTTTTGTTCGACAACGAGGTACGTACATGGTACATATATATAGATATAGAACCATAGATGCTACAAATCAGAGAGAGACCGCGTAGGAATGACACGTGGCAATTTGCGCGCGGCTTTTTCGGTGTTGGCATGTAGCACGAGCCAAGAGATGAGAGCGAACCCTCCAAGAAGTTATTGTGACGGTACGGCAACCCAAACCTAAACCTTTGATTTTAAAGAAACGGTAAGCGAACTATCTTAAAAATAGAATTCTCCATAGGTTTTTTTGTCGGCTCATGTTTTTGGATTTTTTATTAACTTGTATTTTTAGTGTAATTTTAATATTAATATTATAAAATATTATGTAAAAATACGAAACGAAAAATTCATACAGAATTTGACTTTAAGAGCGTTTATTTAGCATTTCTCTTGATTTGATACCTTCTGTGTAAGTTACCGCCGTTTATGCGTGTCAGCAGCCATCTCTTTTTTTCACAGGCATTGCTTTTCTTTACGGCACACTTTCGGGGTATGGTTGGTAGTGCCTGTGTCATATTTTAATGGTTAATATCACATGTTCCGAGGGTATTTTGGTCAATTTAGCAACGTGTTCTATCTTTTAATGATGTTTGAACAAATCTTCGAAGCTACAGAAACATACGGATTAGAACAACAACGTGACAAACGTTACAGGGATTTGCTCTCCACGTTTTATGTACCGTTGAAATAAATGCACGTTTTTTTTTTTCTAAACTTTTAACTTTTTTTTTCTTTCTTTTTGTTTTTAACTTTTAACTTTTTTATTTTATTTTTTATAATGAGATTTTTTAAACTATAATGACTACAATGTAGAGACTCGAATTTAAGTGCAAATGAGGTATTGTGCGATTTTACCTACCTCAGCTAACTGGCCTAACCTATATTTACATAAAAAACAATACTGAATAAGAAACACAACCGACGGCTACAAATGTCTAATAACATAGAAAAGCATTTGCAAGATGAGTAATTAACAAACAAAAGGATGTGCAAATCACGCCTTTCTCTGGATACAAAAAACTGAAAAAATCCCAGTGAAATTCATGTCCAAGCCAGATTTCTACGATCAAATACGAAAGGGCATCTTCATTATACGTGAGATTTCTAAGTTGATTTGGATATACAATAATGCAACACGATTAAGCATCGTCAATCGTCTTGTTGCATAGAAAATATGGCTCATTGGGTCGGAAAAGGCACGACGCTCCCTTATTTGCTAAGATATCTCCTCTACTTATCACCTGCATGAAATAGATCAATTAACAGTGGCACGTCTCATAACAACACTACTAATGCCAAAGAAATCACAAACCTTCTAGGACAAAGTCAATTGGCGGTGATTCACTTGGTGGCTGGTTTAATTCGACTGTTCCAACTGTTACGGGTTGTTCATTAACTTCATTTGGCACGTTTTGTTCATCTTGTTCGGTATTTAAGAGCTCAAGCTGCACCGCTGGTTGGATTTGGTCAAGAGGTGCGGCCTCCAGCAGCTGGTATTGTGGTTTGTTTTTCTGAAGGAGAAGGTAAGTGGTGCTATACCAAAACAACACTATTCTACTTTGAGCTACCATTGTTTTCCTAATGTGACGTCCTCCGAAGGAGATGCGGTGCCTGCAAAATAAGGAGGAAACAGAGCCGAAGGTATTAGATATAAAATTATCTACCTCACGAGTAGTAAGAATATTCATGACATAGGATACTGATCGCCAAATCCCAACAACTATAGCAAGATATGGCCGTAGAGGAAGCATGTCTCAATCAAACGATAATACGTTTGTTGATGCACAAAACCGGGGTGGTCTTGGAACAACGTAAATCCGACCGTGAATCTGCAAGAAATGTAAATAACACAAGATATATCGTGGTTCACCCCAAGGTTTGGGCTACGTCCACACTGATTGTATTGTATTTCTCTGTTGAAGAGGGAGAGAGAGAGCTTAGAGCTTAGGGGGGTGTGAGGAAGCTTTGAGAGGGGGTGAGAGGCTTCAGAAATGGCCTCTGAGAGTGAGAGTGAGGCCTCTCTCAATTGTTAGGGTGAGGAGTCCTTTTATAGAATAAGGGCTCCTCACTTATTACATATTTGCCCCTTCCTTTATCACATAATTACATTTAAGTCCCCCGAGTATTTGTACGAGATCTAAATACGAGGCCCTAAATATGGTATAAACAGTAGTCCCCTAAGTCTTCAGTCAAGAGAGTCTTTTGGCTGGAGACTTGAAATTCAGTCCATGTGTGGGCCGAAGTAACTAGATGTCGTCTAGAACTAATGCTTGATATGAGGCGGTGCCCAATCTGAAATGATGCTCAACTAGAAGTAGCACATGTTGCGAGGCCGCTTTGCTTGTAGCTTGTGTTGCCTTGGTTGGCTCGGCTTGTGGCGTTTGAAGGTGAGGGAGTCCCTTTTATAGAATAAGGGCTCTCTCCTCAATACATAAGTGATGAGTTAGAGTTGATGCTCGCAGTGAGACGGTTGCTCAGTAGGCGGCGATGCTCTCTAATGGTGGTGAGGGAGTCCCTTTTATAGAATAAGGGATCGCTCCTCAATACATAAATCATGGGTGATCTTCAATGAAAGTGAGGGAGTCCCTTTTATAGAATAAGGGTTCGCTCCTTAATACATAAATAATGGGCTAGAGTCCCCCAAGTATTTTTCATGAGGCCCAGTTGAGGCCCAATATGTGGTACATAATGTAGTCCCCCAAGTCTTCGGTCAATAGAGTCTGTTGGCTGGAGACTTCAAATTGAATCCATGTATGGGCCGAAGTGGCGGTTGGTCAGAGGCGGTATTTGTATACCCTGCACTGAAGTTTTGTAGGTGAAGCTTTGCAAGTGAAGCTTTGTAGCTAGAGCTCTGTAAATGAATCTTTTGAAGTTGTTTGACATGAGTGATGCTCATGAATGTTTATGTTGATTGACATGAGTGATGCTCATGAATGTTGTCATGAGTGATGCTCATGAATGTTGACATGAATGATGGTCATGAATGTTTATGTATGATTGTCATGAGTGATGCTCATGAATGTTTATGTATGAATGACATGAGTAATGCTCATGTATAATTTGGAGTACTGAGCGTACTTTTGATCACCTGGTTGAAGCTATTTTGGGCTTATGGGCATTTGCCCTACACAACATTCCAGCCTATTTATTTTGGGCTCTTTTTTTTTTTTTTTTTTTTTGTTTTTTATGATTACCCTCTGATGGGGTTTATACAGATGTCTCCGAAAGATAAGAAAAATAAATTACATCGGTAAAAAAAATTAAATCCGACGATCAATGGATCAGACCCATAATTTTCTTTTCTCTTTTGCAAATGGCAGACAAGAAAATCATGTGGAGTGTCTCTTTTCCCCTTCTGCTTTTGCAGATAAAATCAGTGGAGTCTTCAGATTGCAGATGGCTTTTACTTTCTTAGAAATCAGAAAATGACTTTCCTTTGCTTTCTCAGAAATCAGGAAATCAGTGGAGCATTTTTTCCTTTTGCTTTCTCAGAAATCATAAAATGATGGCTGTTTTCTTTTGCTTTTGTTTTCCATGTGCTCTTGCAGAGCAAAACTTCTCTTTTGCATGTGGGTGGTCGACAATGGAGTGGGTGGGCAGCCACGCTTGCTTTCTACTTCCTTTCCATTATTCTCATACCTTTTCTCTTTTTCTTTACTCCAGTAAGATCGACTTGTCCTTGATTTTGCATTCTCAATCTCGGCATTGATTTCAGCCACGGTCATAAACCCGCCGGTAGCCGACCTTCAACATTAACTTCAATATTTGAAAGAACGGTTGCAGGAAGCTGCTTTGGATCCCTAACCTGAAAATGTGGATCATCTGCAACAACTGCACGTTCATCCCAATTTAAACGACCACCAAATATATTCCAAACACCATTTTGATTCTGATATTCTGCACAACGGTGATTTAGAACAGCATCTCCAAGAACTTTTAAACTGGTATCATGGAATGTCTTCACAGTCTCCTTTAGTTCGTCCATATTTCCATATCTGGAGTTCATATTGTATAAATCCCTCGGCATGTACCCTTGAGGCGACACAAAATCTGTAGGAGGTGGGACCCAAATCACAATGAAACATAGTGAAGCTAATTCTGCAACTTTACTTTTGAGTTCCTTGTACCGTCTTCCAAATTTACTAGATTCCCAGTTAAAACCTTGGCACAATATTTCAAAACCTGTTCTTGTCCCCGAGCATATTTTGGCAGGGGCGACTTTCACTCTTCAGTTTCTGCAATGATTTTCTCCGGTATCTAAGCATCTTCAGACCGAACCTCTCTTTGCCGAGAACATGTTCTTGAAAAACGAGCTTCTCGCCGACAAGACGCCCCGGTGTCGAAGTTTGAATCCCCGAAGTTGAAAACCGCCGGATAGCTGAACTTTATCGAACTCGCAGCCGGTAAAATAGTTGCCAGCAAGGCAAACATTCTGAGAATAATGTAGTTCTTGGCAGCCATGGACGTTGAAATATGAAAGCTTAGGACAAAGAAGCTGCATGGTGGTGGGCATGCGACGAATGGTTCGCTCATGGCTGGAGCCTAGAGGGAGAGAGAAGGAGATTGTGATGGTGCTATGCCGTTTTTCTGGGTGTCTGATCTCACAGAGGCGACGAGAGCTAGGAGCTGCGAAAAGGATCTCGTCTTCTTCGTTGGGGACGTCGACAGCGATCAGACGATGGAAAGATTGGGGTGCGGCGGAGGATTGGCGGGGCTGCGGAGCAGATGATGATGATGGTTGAGACGATGGAATCTCTTTCTTTTTCTTCTGGATTTTTTTTTTGTTTTTGCTGAGGGATTAGTTTAGAGAGAGAGAGAGAGACAAAGTGTGTTTGTGTATCGAGAAGTGGGGTTTTTGTTTAGCTTCAATGTGTTTTCCAGAGAGAGAGAGATGAGTGATTTTGAGATCTGGTTTCTGGGTTTTTGCAAATTTTTGCAGATTCACGACGGAGATGAAAAAATGAAAGAGAACCGACACAACTTTTCGTATCGATTCCCACAGACGACGCCAAATGTTGATGCACAAAACCGGGGTGGTCTTGGAACAACGTAAATCCGACCGTGAATCTGCAAGAAATGTAAATAACACAAGATATATCGTGGTTCACCCCAAGGTTTGGGCTACGTCCACACTGATTGTATTGTATTTCTCTGTTGAAGAGGGAGAGAGAGAGCTTAGAGCTTAGGGGGTGTGAGGAAGCTTTGAGAGGGGGTGAGAGGCTTCAGAAATGGCCTCTGAGAGTGAGAGTGAGGCCTCTCTCAATTGTTAGGGTGAGGAGTCCTTTTATAGAATAAGGGCTCCTCACTTATTACATATTTGCCCCTTCCTTTATCACATAATTACATTTAAGTCCCCCGAGTATTTGTACGAGATCTAAATACGAGGCCCTAAATATGGTATAAACAACGTTAATTTTAAGAACCATATACATATAAGTTTAAAATTGTAGATAATATCGTTTGTTCAAATAAAAAAAAATTTGAGGTGGTAGTGCTAAAGGGTTTACCCTATGCCTCTTACATGGTATTATATTGTATTAATACAGAGAAGACGCTTCATTTTCTTGAAAGTTCAAACAGGAATTCTCCTTGTACCTTATTTCCGTTTAGAATATCGTAAGAATGCTGATGATCAAATTGAAGACCCCTAAACTCATTGATGCAAAAGACCTTGGAAAGCCCTGAAAGTGTACAAGGAAATATACAACCGTAAGGTAAAGGAAACAATACTTAATTGTATCATTTGATCTATCTAAGCAATCAAAACTTCTCTTTCGGGCAAATGGCAAGTGATCTTTGATCTTACCATCTAATTCTCTGCATTGACATATAGCCTCCAAATACAAGAAAGCTGTCATAAGTGAAGGTCCCGGCCTACCCCGCTGCCGCCGATGCCCAAAACCATCTGGCCCACATTTTGCCCGCCTAACTGAACCATTTCATTGAAATCGCTCTTGAGCGACGCGTGTCCCTGTCGAGGATAAGAGGAGAAACGAAATAAACTTCTGGTTGGGCCAGCCCAAAACCGCATCCGAATCGGGTTGTTGCGAATCGAATTTAACAGTTGTCCCCAGTAGACACGCCCGCTGATCGTGGAGACCAGCCGTCGCCATCTCCTTCTCCCACGTTCCAGTTCCAGTCCCGACCCCTCCTGAGTTTCCATCGTCACTCCGATCATCTTACCATGTCAGCAAGGTGTGGGCCCCACCTCTGTCGTCCCACTTTCGCCTGAAACATTCTCCACAAACTAACAATGGCGAGCAACTCCAAGGAAGAGCCCAAGACCGGCCCCCAGTCCAATTGCTGGTACAACCTAACCCTCGGCCCCTCCTTCAGAGACGGCTCCGAGAACAAGTACTGCACTCTTCGATGTAAGTATTTATCCGATGTAAGTATCCTATCCAATCTGCCTCTTTTTTAATCCATTTCGATTTTTGATATCCATCGCAGACGACTTCAAGCCGGCGTCGATCGACAAGACTAAGCCCGGGGCGCTGAAGAAGACCAAGGACAATAGGGTTACGGTCGAATTCCAGAACAACCAAGTGGGGAAACCCAATGTCACGTTTAAAGGGAGCAGCGAGGAGTACAAGGGCAACGACGCCGTATTATTCTTAGACGGCCAGACGTTTCGGTTGGAGAGGCTTCACCGCTCCGTGAAGCAGCTCCGGCATGACCGCCAGCCTGGGGAATCGGCGGCTGGTATGGCCGTGGACCCGCAGCTTTCTCCGGTGGGCAAGGCGCCCAAGCTAACGCATCAGTATAATCCTGCTAGAACTGCATTCCCCGTCGTGCCGGTGAGTTTTGGTTATTAGAAATATTATGATTCAAGATTGAATCTTTTGTTTTTGGTTATTGAAAAGCAGCTGAAATTTGCACTCTTTTGGTTCCTTTTCTGCTTCATCAGGTTGAGGTGGAACGGATAGATGTTGGCGTGCCTGAGAATCCAGGTTTGTTTTTATGATAGTTCTTTTCTGTTTTGGTTTCGAAATAAAAATATACATCGGATTTTTCGCTTGTCAAAGAATGCTTTCCATTCCCTCGAGAGGATCGGATTCAAACTTCAGAATGCCATGATTAAATTAAGTAGACATTGCCTGTTCTTTAGTTGCATTTCACTCCGTGAAGCTCCGTATGCAAGTGAGAACAGTATGGTGTTTATTTACTTCCTCCGACAAAATCAATAGGATCACGATTTGGTATTGTAATGACAAAAACATTTTCACCAAAAGAGCTTTCAGTTATTTTAAAAGCACTTCCAAACGAGCCCTCAGCTCTAACAAACTAAAATTCAAAACTTTTTCCTGTAATGACATTTGGCTTGGAATCTGGAACCTTGACGAGTTAATTCTTTCCTAGAGGAAAGGAGGAGCGTATTTTGTCTCAGCTTACCTTCCTGTCAAGTGTTTTTTTTTTTCCCTTTCGTAAAGAATCTATTTCTTTTGTCCCGCAGAATGGGGTGCGTAGTTTCTCCATTCTCCGGTTGCAAACACTTTTGGTGCACAATTGTGATTTGATACTTAGATATGCACAATACCTTTCACTACACATTTGAGGTAGCCAAACCCAATGTAGATTTAATTGGGACCGCTCGAAGAGTCCACTCAGTCTAACCCCAATGGTTCTACCTTATATTACTATGTCTGTACTGAAATCATTTTACCAACTTGAATATTACTGTGCCAACCCCCATCCTAAATGTTAAAAACTTTCGAGCGCTGTTCTTGGGCTGAGCTTTTTCTGGACTCTAAGAAACTTCTTTTTACTTGTTTTTTACTGCATTAATCAAATGGAAGCAATCGAGTAGCTAGATTCTTGGTCACATGATTAGTCGCCAGTTGTCCGCCTGACTACTTTGGCATGCGTATGAATTTGCTAACATGACCTTCACCCCGCCTTTTCGAAGTCTACTGAAAACAATAAAGAATTTCATCTTGCAGATGTCTTCATTCCTCTATGCTGTGTCTTGTCCAAAAACTAATGATGCCGCTACTGTTTTTTTCTCTATTTTGTTTGTGCAGTTATCATATATCCTTATGTTTTATTCATAATCTACAGGTGCGAAAGCTGCCAATAAAGGTGTCGTTGATTACTCATCTGATCAACCAAATGTATCTGCTGCCTCGCCAGGCCCTAAGAATGAAGAAGTTGACAACAAACACCAGGATATAGATATTGAAGACCTTTTCGGTAGTATATCACCCGATGATGGGAATGCTGCCGAAGATGAAGCCAATCCTGGATTTGATACCAATGTGCCACATCAGAATGAAAGTGATAATGAGATTGCTGATGTAGATGATAGCGGTGATGAAGTTGACAAGGGGCCAAATGCCGCAGCAGCCCTTCGAGCCCAGGTGATGAATGCACAGGGGAGGGAAGCACACTCTGATATTTTTGGAGACGAGGGGAATGCAGAAGGGAGGAAAACCGAGACTTCTAGTTCAAGTAGCAGCAGCAGAAGTAGCAGCGGAGGTGCGAGCAGCAGTAGCAGAAGTAGTAGTGGGAGCAGCAGCAGCAGCAGCAGCGGCAGCGAAAATGGTGGTAATAATGCAGGCAGTGATGACGATTCAGTCAACTCCATCTGAGATGTCGGGCAATTGTAATCTTTCAGGAAAGTTTGTCGAAGACAGTCAACAGTCCCAAAGGATGATTACGCAGGCAACCGGAGCTTGAAGAAAAACAGAAGATAATCGTACTGTTATTTGTACATGCTGATATTTTGTGAGATTAGATAATGATGCCACATAAGTTTTGTCATAAGCCGATACCTTGTATGGGTTACAACGTAAAAGGAGAATAAAGTGTTTAGGGCTTTTTTAGTGTAGTGAAAGCTTATGAAATTTGGTAGAATATGAGGTATTTATAGGGGATGGGGTTGGCCATAGTGTTAGGGTTTTACCTTACGCATGGCGGCATCCTATTGGCCAATGTTTATAGAGAAATATTGTCAAGATATTAAACGAATTAAAACAGCTGAATTCACATAATAAAATTGGTCTCTATAGAATTTACATTAAGAATAGAGAAAATAGTATTTAATAAACAATTGATTGAATCATATTATTGCTATTGTGAGGCTAAGCTCATACCACTCCCTCTTAGTGTAGATAATATCGTTTGTTAAAAAAAAAAACAATCATTTGATAATTAATTTAATCACATTATTATCCGTATGCGAAATGTTTTTTTTATAGTTGGTATTACACGCCTCTTAAAATGTTTTAAATGTGTTTAAATATATAGAAATTAAATCACATTATTGTTAGCCTATTGTGAGGTAAAATACTCCTGCCTTATGTGATGCCTTTGAAGTTTTTTTGTCTTTGGGGTATTTTTGTCCAAATATTTTTGTTAAAGCTTGGTGACACCAAAATCACTATTTACAATTTCCATTGACTTTATATATAGATACCATTGGATTTCATGTTCTTTTGAGACACTCTTATGGCACGTTTACGTACCCGTAATCAGAATCAATTTACGGAATTGGATTCCGATTACGGGATACACATTTGTTTACGTAATCTTGGGGAATCAAAGTACATGTGGGGTCCACAAGCATTAAGTAATCCAACTCCTAATTTTGGAGGAATTGGACTCCCTACATAAGGGAGGTATTTCAATTCCTTGTGACTTGAGGAATCCGGAATGAAATTTATTTACCAATTATGCCCTCACTTGTTTCTTATTATCCCAACATTGCCCTTCATTTGATACTCATTATGCCATCTTTTAATAAATAAATAAAACCTATTTATATATTTTTATATAGATGAATTTTATTATATAAATTTAATTCAATTAATTAGTATGAAAATAATATATTTATGTAAGGGCAATGTAGTAATCAACCTAGTTTTCATTCCGATTGAAGTGAATTAGTAAACAACTTATATGGATTCAACATCATTCCTACCTTCTTTTAATAAATAAATAAAACTTATTTATATATTTTTATATAGATGAATATTATTATATAAATTTAATTAAGAATTTAATTTAATTAATTAGTATGAAAATAATTTATTTATGTAAGAGCAATATAGTAATCAACTGAGTTTTCATTCTAATTGAAGTAAATTAATAAACAACTTATATAGACTCAACATCATTCATACTCCGATTTCAGACAGTTGTATTAAACAACTTCAACAAGAATCTAATTCTGATTCCACCTCATTTCAATTCCTCATCAATCAAATTCCTCCTCAATTCATTTCTTCTCAATTTGATTATGGATTAGTAAATGCGCTCTTATTGGATTTATGAGTTATCTTAATCAGGTAGTCCTACAAAAGGTTGGTTCGCTGTTTTTCTAGAAGCATGATACGATGACGGCATCTTGTTGAACTTCAAATTCATTATTGGTCTTGTTTTAAAATTGAAAACCTAACTTACTAGTGTTATTATTGTATCATAAAAAAAATATTTTATTGTCAATGACTCTTAATTGCTCGTGACATTCCTTAATCCGTAAAATTTCATAAAATGCCCCTAATTATAAATAGCACTTAAAGAAAACAATTATGCTTAAGTCATCTCCATCTGTGGGCCCAATAAATCACCAATCTTGAATCTGCCTTTGAAAAACCCAATACATCACATTATTTTGACAAGAAAAATCGTATCACCTCATCACACACGTCACCCAATATGCAGATCTCTATTTCCACCCACCAAATTTGCTATTTACAATAAGAAACTCTTAACAGAAGTCAAGAGTTTTTATAGATTTTTTCTACTTTATATTTTCTTACACAATTATTTATAATGTTGTTAAGAGTTTGACGTTAAACGATGGAATGACAGAAGTTTATAAAGAGCTCCTTAGCATTTTTCATGTACAATTTGTACCTAGGAGAAAAAATGAGCAAATCTTTTTTTTGTAAACAGGAAACACAATTAAATACGTCGAATCATACTACAATTAATTCAATACACCAAGTCGTACTGAAATGTATTCCCAGCAAACTAAAACATTTCTCAAAACGAAAGTGGCCCGCCGCCCCCATCTTCCAATGGAATTGGATCCTCTTCGAGGGAAAGGCTCGGGATCCTCCTGACCTAACAACACGGATCGTTAAATTTTGATTCAATGACTACAATTATTATAATTTTTAAAATACTTCCTATTTGTATCAGTTGGATCAAAATTTAATTACCTATGCTGTTGGGACAAGAAGATCCCGAAGCTTTGCCTCGGAGAGGATTCAATTCCTATGCCAATCGCCTTAAACACGTAGCCAAATCGCCAGTATGGTCAGGGAACGTGCGGTCACGCGCGTTTGACGAGCGTGGGATGTTTTTCAACCCGAAAGTTTATTATTTGGGGCCACACGACAAATTAAATTTAAAATTAAAGACAGAGAGTGTGAACATAAACTTTTATAAGATCATGTCAAACAAATCAAAAAATTCCGCAGGGAAAAAATCGATGAACTCTTTCTTCTTCTTCTTCATTGCAACAAAATCCAACTTGGAAACCCTAACCCTAGCTCTGTTACACAGCCAGAGAGAGCAAATTTTTTAGAGAGAGAAAGTGTGCGTTAGAGAGAGAAAGAGCTGAAATTTACGGTTGTTGATCCAACACATAACGAATAGTTGAAGACAGTTACTTTTTCTACAGCTCAATCTTTAAAGACCCAATCTTCAAACAGCTTCCCCACCATTTTTGCAAGATCCTGACCGACCCATTACCTAAATCCGTCTGAAAACCCTAATTCCATCAAAACCCACATCCCAATTTCCACTTATTTGACTCAGCAACCGACCCATATGCCCCAACTCCGCCACCAACAACCAGCTGAGCCGCCAACATAACCGACCCATTATGGGAGCTGAGAAGAAATGGCTCCTAACGCTCTTCTCAGCCACATTCCTCTCTCTCCTTCTCCTCCTTCTCTCCTCCATCTCCGCCTTCAGCTCCCCCAAACCCTTCCCTTCAATTGTCCAGCACGGCTCTCACTACCCGCCCGCTTTCGCTTACTACATATGGGGCGGCCGCGGCGATAGGGCTCGGATCTTCCGGCTGCTGCTCGCCGTCTACCATCCCCGAAATCGATACTTGTTGCATCTTTCGGCTGACGAATCTGAAGAAGAGCGCCGCCGCCTTGCCGCCGCTATCAAGGCTGTGCCTGCAATTCAGGCGTTTGGGAATGTGGATGTGGTGGGCAAGCCTGATCGAATCACTTACATGGGGTCCACAAATATTGCCACCACGTTGCGCGCGGCGGCGATTTTGTTGAAGGTTGATAGTGGGTGGGATTGGTTCGTCACTTTGAGCGCCATGGATTATCCACTTATCACCCAGGACGGTATGCTCTTTGTTTTATTGGCCATTTTTCCTTAAACTTGCTTGGGAATATAAATATGGTCTATAAAAAGATTGGATTTTGTTGGGGAATTCCATTTATTATTGAATATTTTGTTTAAATTGACTGAAGGAATCTGGCTCTTTGGGTTGGGGAAAGTGTTTTTCTGGGGAAGTACTTATATGTAGTCTCAATTAAAGCGAAAAGTTTCCATTTTTGCTAGAACCATTTATGTATAGGAGGGAGGCTGGCATAGCCCAGTTTGGAGCAACTGCGAAAAGTCAATACTTCAAATCCCCCTCCTCCAGATGTCCTAACTGATTCTTGTATAGGAACAACTGCAATTATTTTTCGTATACAATTGGGAAAATGGTATGTCGGATGTGCCGGGTATTGAGAAACTTGATGTTTTGGCATAGGAATAGAATGCTGTTTCTTTGACCTGGTAACACCAAATTTAGTGAACTTAATCTTGTCATGTCAGCTCCTTATGCTGAACCTCTTGGCTTCTGCAGCTGTCATTCTGAAGTTGACTTTTGAGCTAAATTGTTCTAACGTTTAGGTGGCTCTCGTCGACTGTCCTTTTTTTTAATGGATTGGGTATAGCCGACCCCACTTAGTGGGAAAAGGCTTTGTTGTTGTTGATTGGGTATAAGCTTCTGCTAGTATAGGCCAAAAAACAACCCAATTATCCAGGGACCAGATCCTTGACAAACAAATCCCCGAAAAGAAAACACGTATCAGGACAGATATCTAGAACACTTATTCGGATTTCACTCGAGAGGTTTGATGTATTTCAAGTGTTTGATTTGATGTATTTGATTAAAGTCTAGTTGATTTCACTTGTGATGAGAGAGTTTTTTGGGGATTTTATGGGGAGTTTAGTTGGTCACGATTTTATTTATGCAGAAAGATTGGATATTGGTTTATTATCTTTAGTAATTGCCCGAGTTTTAACATTAATAATCTGTACTGCAGAAAATGCTAAAGAACTTCTTTTTTAAGTAGAAAGTGTATGAAAGTGAATATCAGTCTTTTGGTCTTAAAGACATTTCCTGTTCATACTTGGTTCTAACTGCAATAGAGCATATAAAGAATACTTAGGTTGAAGGATTCTATTTATTGTCACTTCTTCCAATGAACACGAAAAATTGCATCGAGGTTGCATACAATCTACGCGGATAGTACATATGGAGATAAAAGGAATTAAAATGCTACGCCTAGGACGTTACCTGGGCCAAGAGCCATGGTTAGTTGCTATTTCCATTTGGTCGTTTTTTTCTGTTGGTGATACCGGCAAGACCTAGCCAGACGATGTCTGCTGGTTGGTAGTGAGAAGACTCTTAGTACTTGCATACCCAAAAGGGGCGCTGATTAAAAAACAATCATTTGATTTAGTTTCTTGCTCCCCCTTAGCAATGCTTAGAGATTTTACCAAGGGCAATGCTTTTAATGTTTTACGATGAAGTTGTCCAGGCCACCAACTTTGTGCCCGCTTCTTGCCTTGGTACATTTCACAATGTGAATCAGTGACAATGCACATCATGTGCATCTTTGACAATTCTGTGAAGGTTATCTGTCCAAGGGAGACGATAATTCACTTATTTCTTGTTACTGTTACTATTCTTATAGCTTTATTCTCAGGCATTTCTTTTAAGTTGAAATATGTACTCTAATTTCACTGTGCTGTTTTTTTCGATAAATGATTGCATTATGTTGTTTTTCTTGATAAATTACACCAACTAATTCACTTCTGCTTCTGTTTTGTACTTTCAGATCTGTCTCATGTATTCTCATCTGTCAGAAGAGATCTCAATTTTATTGATCACACTAGTGACCTTGGATGGAAAGAGTAGGCAAACCCTTTCGCTAATTTTTCTTTAGCTTTCGGGGCAACATATTTCTGATTGAACCTGAACCCATGTTTTTAATATTTGATGTAGGTTGCATAGGGTCCAGCCAATAGTAGTTGATCCGGCAACATACCTAGCCAGAAGGAGCCAAATTTTTCATGCTACAGAGAAGCGGAAAACCCCTGATGCTTTTAAAGTATTCACAGGCAAAGTCTTAACACACATTTATATAAGATTACCCATATCGATATGCTGTCCAGATGTTGAACTGCTAATTAGAAACTATTTTTTTTCCTGATTTGCAGGTTCCCCATGGGTCACTCTGAGCAGATCATTTCTGGAATTTTGCATTCTTGGTTGGGATAACCTTCCCCGGACCCTGCTCATGTACTTTACAAATGTGATATTGTCGCAGGAAGGATATTTCCATTCAGTTATATGCAATTCACCAGAGTACAAGAACACAACTGTGAACAGTGATCTAAGATACATGATCTGGGACACACCCCCAAAAATGGAACCCCACTTCCTCAACACCTCGGATTTTGATCAAATGATTCAAAGCGGAGCTGCTTTTGCCCGACAATTCGAGAAAGATGACCCTGTGATGGACATGGTCGATAAAAAGATCCTCAAGCGTGGGAGAAATCGAGCTGCCCCGGGGGCATGGTGCTCGGGCTGGAAAAGCTGGTGGATGGATCCTTGCACTCATTGGGGTGACGCCAATATCTTGAAGCCTGGGCCCCAAGCAAAGAAGTTTGAAGAGTCGATTACTAACCTTCTCGATGACTGGAATGCACAATCAAATCAATGCCAATGACGATGTCTGTGCTGAAAATGTCTCCAGATACCCAGTGTGGTTTTCCTGTGAGCTAAACTTGATTAGTTTAGGAGACTGGCAACCGCGGAGATATATTCTTTGGCCCCCAAGAACACTTTTCGTTTTGTGGGTTCTTCCAGTCTCATGCTTGACTATTGTTTATAACGGGGCGTCGGGGCAGAGTAGAAGGGAGAAACATAGTGAGTTAGCTTGAGGTATTGCCACTTACCGTAGCATGGCGGGCTGTTACCGACGGTATTGCCACTTACCGTAGCATGGCGGGCTGTTACCGATGGTATTGCCACTTGTAGCTTTTGAGTAACTGGGTTAATAAGAGGCTCTCCCTCTTTTTGTGCTGCCATTGTATGTCTACTTCGGATTCGGATTATGTTCGGACATGTTTGAATGTTGGATCACAAATTCATTCTTTCACCTCTCATCTGTTGTATCTCGTTCTAAATTCATAGTGAATCTCTCCCCCTCTGGTTTCGAACTCGCCACTCATGATATTTGAATTTAAGAACCACGAGATTCGAACTCACCCATCACTTGTAATGTGTATTAACTTTAAAATATCATAATCTAAATCGTTCATTTTATAAGTAATAAGAATAAAATAAAATGGATCTCTCTCGAATTTTCCCTCGTGTATCAAAACTATCCATAAACTTCACTCGCAATCCAACACTCCCTACTCAAAATCCATCTGGGTTCCTATGTGTTCGCGCTGGTAGTTTTCACAGAGCAATCCACGACGGTCTGGAAAAAACCCGAGTGCTGGATGACGCCGGTGACAAAACCCCACTTCTCAAAAACCCCAAAGTCTCAGAAGGCGCTGATAAAATCTGCAAATTTCTATCCACCAGCAGCTCTAGTTCTCCAATCGAGAGCTTACTCAACGGTGCTTCAGTGGACGTCTCGCCGACGCTTGTGGTGGCGGTCTTGAAGAAGTTCAGCAACGCCGGCGTCCTCGCGCTCTCGTTCTTCCGGTGGGTGGAGAAGCGGAAAGGGTTTAAGCACAACACGGAGAGCTACAATGCGTTGATTGAAGCTCTGGGTAAGATCAAACAGTTCAAGATGGTGTGGGAATTGGTGAACGACATGAAGATCAAAGGGCTGCTGAGTAAAGAGACTTTTGCGCTGATTCGCGGCGATATGCGAGGGCGAAGAAGGTTAAGGAAGCCATTGATGCGTTCGAGAAGATGGAGAAGTTTGGAATGAAGGTGGAAGGGTCGGATTTCAATAGACTGATTGATACGCTGAGCAAGTCGAGGCAGGTTGAGAGAGCACAGGAGGTGTTTGATAAAATGAAGAAGAGAAGGTTTGAACCCGATATCAAGTCGTACACGATTTATTGGAAGGATGGGGCCAAGAACAGAACTTTTTGAGGTTGAATGAGATTTATGGAGAAATGAGGGACGAGGGTTTCGATCCAGATGATGTGACATATGTTGTGATTGGCTCATATTTTGAGCTGTTAACAATTAAGTGACTTTGTGTGTTATGCTTTCGGAATAGTGACCAAATGTGTCCATATCTCATTTTGGCTAATAGTGGAAGACAATGATGATGTTTCATTAGATTCTTTTGTTTTGGCCTTTTTATTGATTTCCCATTTGCATGCTACGAAAGTGGCTTTGGGTTTTGAGTAAAAGGCAAATGGAGCATGATGCATCATCATTATGTCTGTGCAAAAAATGAGAGGTTGATTCATTTTCTTTCCATTTAACTGCAAAGAGCCGAAGTGGAGAGAGAGATAGAGAGAGCATTCGGCTCTCTCCTAAGAAGGCATCAGAGAGCATCCAAAGGGAGAGAGCATTCGGCTCTCCCATGGGAAAGCATGGTGAGAGAAAATCAAGAGAGCTAGAGTGAAAAGTATTCTAGTGAAAGAACTCTTGGGGTAGAGTGAGGCTACTGAGAAAATTCTATGAGTGGGTGTGCAAGGGATTTGGGATTGGGTTATGTTGATTTAACTCATGTGTACTTGTACTGTTATTCTCATCGTGAAGAGCAATATCTCTCCGGGGACGTAGGCAGGATTTTTTGCCGAACCTCGTAAATTTCTCGGTGTCTTTATTTCTTGTATTTTATTCTGTTTAACTGAGTGTGATTTTGGTGAGGTTGTAATCTGAATCTCGTTTCCGCACTAACGAACGGACCAAGGCACAACAATTGGTATCAGAGCATCGTTGGACGCTTGGTTCGTTGAAGGTCCAGATTTGTTGTTCACCATGGAATTGTCAGTTGAGCAGTTTAATGGGAGGGGCTGTTTTACTCTTGGTAAAGGAGAGTAATGGAAGCCGTGTTCAGGGATGCTTAGATCAACTGCGAAAGTTGATGTTGAGGAAGAAGCCAAAGGCCTCTTTCTTCTTAACTCACTTTCAGATTTGTACGAGAACCTTGTGAAACTTTACTGCATAGAAAAATACAGTAAGTTTGGAGCAGGTGCAAACTTCTTTGGTGTGGAATGATACACAAAGGAGACCATGGATGATGGTGGGCACAAGACTGCTTAAGTTATTAAAGGTTGGAATCGTGGAAGAAAATTGGAAAGAGGATCTGAGAGAGACAGCAGGTTCAGATCTGGTTCCGGAGGCAAGAGTCCACAGTGCTACAAGTGCAAGGCCGGGTTGTAGCAAGTTTGTGGCGGAAGACTTTGAGTATGTCATCTAGGTACTCGAAGCAACACTTCTCCTGGTGATGTTTAGTCTTGAGTGTTGCAGGGGTTTTGCAGCAGGTGGAGCTATGGGATTCACAGGTGATGAGATGGTCCTGAGGTAGGAGGAAGTGTGGGAATTTTGTCTGGCTCGATGGGTTGTTGCTGGAAACGGGCGCGCTGACGAGTTTCCAGGTTGCAAACAATGAAGAGGAGGAAAACCTGCTGGAGGAGACGAGGATGTGTCGAGATCCTGTCTGAAGCTAAATGGTGATTTTTAGCTTGCAGCAGCTGCACATGCATTGGCAGTGACTGAATCGAAACAGGACCAAAGAGGTTGATTCAGGATGTGTATGCTGGTACGTAAGGCCAATGGACTTTGGTGATGGGTGCAAGGATTTTTGCACAGTATATTCGCCAAGGTGGAGATTGTTGTGATTGGCTCATATTTTGAGCTGTTAACAATTAAGTGACTTTGTGTGTTATGCTTTCGGAATAGTGACCGAATGTGTCCATATCTCATTTTGGCTAATAGTGGAAGACAATGATGATGTTTCATGAGATTATTTTGTTTTGGCCTTTTTATTGATTTCCCATTTGCATGCCACGAAAGTGGCTTTGGGTTTTGAGTAAAAGGCAAAGGGAGCATGATGCATCATCATTATGTCTGTGCAAAAAAGGAGAGGTTGATTCATTTTCTTTCCATTTAACTGCAAAGAGCCGAAGTGGAGAGAGAGATAGAGAGAGCATTCGGCTCTCTCCTAAGAAGGCATCAGAGAGCATCTAAAGGGGGAGAGCATTCGGCTCTCCCATGGGAAAGCATGGGCACGGGTGAGAGAAAATCAAGAGAGCTAGAGTGAAAAGTATTCTAGTGAAAGAACTCTTGGGGTAGAGTGAGGCTACTGGGAAAATTCTATGAGTGGGTGTGTAAGGGAGGGGTAGAGTGAGGCTACTGGGAAAATTCTATGAGTGGGTGTGCAAGGGATTTGGGATTGGGTTATGTTGATTTAACTCATGTGTACTTGTACTGTTATTCTCATAGTGAAGAGCAATATCTCTTCGGGGACGTAGGCAGGATTTTTTGCCGAACCTCGTAAATTTCTCGGTGTCTTTATTTCTTGTATTTTATTCTGTTTAACTGAGTGTGATTTTGGTGAGGTTGTAATCTGAATCTCGTTTCCGCACTAACGAACGGACCAAGGCACAACAACATATGCTATTCTGATCAATGCACATTGTAAAGCGAAGAAGTACGATGAAGCGATTGAGTTGTTTCGTGAGATGGAATCGAAGAATGTCAAGGCTACTCCTCATATCTTCTGCATTTTGATTAATGGGTTGGGTTCTGAAAGAGGTTGAGTGAAGCCCTTGAGTTTTATGAGCTGAACAAAGCCAGTGGTTTCGAACCAGAGGCACCCACGTACAATGCTCTTGTGGGGGCTTACTGCTGGTCGATGCAGATGCAGGATGCGTTTAGGGTGGTGGATGAGATGAGTAAATGTGTAATCGGTCCCAATGCCCGAACTTACGACATAATCTTGCACCACTTGGTAAAGGCTCGAAGAACAGAAGAAGCTTACTCCATTTTCCAGCAAATAAGTAGGGAGCCTGGCTGTGAGCCAACAATAAGTACACGAGATTAGTCCCACGAGATAACCGACACGTCGTTGAGCTTCAAGATGTCATCGGTGATATTGATCGAAAACCCCACGAGATTAGTCCTCAGAACCGTCCCATCATTCAAGCTCACCAAATCGGTCCACAAAAGCCGGCAGGTCACCACGTGACGATGGAAGATGGAGGAGTACTCGCTCAAGTTTCCGACCCGGTTCATAAGAACTTGGTCAAGCGGAGCAAAGGCAGTCAGCATCGTCTGGAACTTGAAGAAAGAACCATGAAATTGCAGCTCAAGAAACGACGCCATGACAGAGCACCCCTTGGATCTCAGCGCGGCGGAACCGTCTCTGAGCTCCATCCTCTGATCTGGGTTCTCCTTGGGGGCCAAGCAACCGAGGTTCTCGGGGGTGTAGCTTCCAATCGGATATCTGAAAGTACGGATCCAAGAACCTTTTGATTCCAAAAATGATCAGCGACCAATCGTCAAAAATTGGGGAAGCAGTGACGCTAACGTTGGTGACGGTGAGAGTGCGGTCGGAGAGTAAAGCTGCGATCTTGGCGCCGGAAGGGAGGGACTTTAGGGATCGGCGAGAGAAATAGAGCGGGAGGAGGTTCAGCGGCGGCTGGCCGGAGTGAGAAAATGTGGCGTCGTTGGGGGCGAAGAGGGTGACGGAAGGAGAGCGGGAATGGAGGAGGGAGCGGAAGGGGAGGTCGAGGGTCAGGGACATGGAGGTGTAGCCCGAATCCGAGAGGATTTCGACGGCGTTGGCGAGGGTTTGGGTGTGGAGGGCGGAGGGCGGAGGGCGGAGGGCGGAGGAGAAAGAGAGGAGTGAGAGGAAGATCTTGGAGGCGGCCCTTGACGAAGGTCTTTTCGTTTCTTGGTTGCAGAGTCGGGAGTGTGTGAATTTGTAAGGGTGTTTTTGGCGGGGTGAAGTTGGGACACGTGGAGGTGTGGGATATATTGAGGAAGGAAGGGAGTCAAAAAGTTAGTTAAGGGCGTAGGGAGTTTGTTTTGTGGATTAATTGATAAGTAATGGGCCGAGACCATAAAATTGCCAACGGCACAAAGTTACACAAAAAATGGTCCAAAGACAAATAAGTATAAACAAAATTGGACCTACAATGCTAACAAAAAATGGTCCAAACAAGAGTTCAGGTCGAAACTGGAAACAAACCAAAAGAAACTCGAGAGGTCTATTGCCACTCCCTACTACAATGCATCTCGACCAGCAGATGTCCACGTGCAACGCTGGCAAAAAGGTAGCTAGAGAGAAAGTGGTGGTGTTGTGAACACCCTAGTCGGTAGGAACACCAAAACTCTTAACTTCTCAATGCACCACAACAAATCGCGGTAAAGAGTGACTGCAGATCGAAGTGGAGAAGATCTAGGAGGAGGGACGCCCATAAAGGTCGTACCCAGTGCACAAGGCTCCCGCTTTACGCAGGGTCTGGGAGAGGAGGGACGCCCATGTGGTGTGAAAAACAGGCCAAACCAGGACGGAGAGCATAGGAAAAAGCTTCATAAGGAAAGAAAGGGGAATTTTGTGGATTAGGACAGTTCTCACGTTAGTTGAGATTACTTTGAGATTGGGTGGGATCAAAACATAAAGGATCTCGTATTTTTAGAAGAGTTTTCTTAATAATGGTGTGAAGTCGGTCAGTGGTAGAGTTGGAATTTTCAAATAATGGAACAATGATTTCGACCATTAAACTTCATTGGACCATTTCGTCGAGCATCTAGTGTAGGAACATGTTGATTCTTGTCAACATCTAATGAAGGCTTATCCCGACATATGTCAACAATAACTATGATATGTAAAGGCTTGTCAAGGGTGGATATAGGAAACTGTAGAGTAATGTTGAAGACTGTCAAGGCTTGTTAACTGAGGCATTTCATCGAGCATTTGGTGCAGACAATAGAGTCGTACACAAGAAGAGAGAAAACAAAGACAAGGATGATAAAAAAAATAGAAGAAGAGGAACTATGAGGAGGAAGTTCTAATTTAGTTTTCCCTAGCTGTTTATAGGGTCAAATACAATACCATTCAAAACTACAAATACTCATAGGTTTTGAAAGTTGCAAGTGGCCATTTACCACAGTAGTGGAAATATGTTAAGCCCTTATATAACGGCGTGGGTTTGAACCCCTTCTAACATCTAACCTAACAAATATGTTTGACAAAAAAAAAAAAAAATGTTTTGGAAGCTGTTGGGGCCATCAACAACCAATGATCTCATGCTGGCTCTGCCATTGAAGTCGGTGAGAACAAAAAAAAAAAAAACAGAAAATTTTGTATTTTTGTAAGAGATGTTTACGGATGGGGTGGTCCGAATGCCCCGATTTTGAAGGAAAATTTGTCTTCGTCGATCAATAATGCACGCAATTGCTTAGAAGCCACTTTAAAGAATGAAATAAATGAACATTTGATGGAAATTTCTTGAGTAGAAAGTCTCTAGGACTCTATATATAGCTGCTGAGTGCCAAGCATTCGAAAACAAAGGAAAGGAGACAATTTGACCACCGTTATTGCTACATATCTCTTGTTTTCAGCCCTCACTTACATAATTAAATGGTTTGATGTGTACTTAAATCTACTTAATGAAGTGATTAGCTTGTTTAATTCGATGGTCGCACAAGCAACAAATTATTTTATTTCACTCGCTATGTATTGACTTCCCGACGTAGACCCATCTTATATATTTATCTATCCATCATGCAGTTTTCTTCCTTAAATACAGATTCAAAATTAGCTTGAGTGTCTCTCACGGTTATATATGTTACCTGCATAATGTAATTGGTGACTAATCCAACGCGATCGTTCTTAGAATATGGCATTTCGATATTGTCATGGGGCATCAAATTTGAAATTTAGGATGCAAGGGTGAATTTTGTTAACTAATTAGTTACAAGCCTCTTTCGATATTGTCATATGATTCAGTGTATTGTGTATGTTACATCCATAATGTAATGGGTGACTAATTCAACGTTCTAAGGTTATATTTGTATCCAGCACCTTATAAAAATAATTGGTTACGTAGTTTTCATCTTCAACCCATCTGATCAAGAAATTAGTAACAGGAATTTGTATGGTTGTGTGTGTCCTAAGTATGACTAACCTTATAATTAATCCTGCTACATTCACAATATATTTACTGATACACAAAAATACACACTCAAATAAATAAACGGGAAAAATATACTTGGAGCTTGAGGTGATCAGCATCTTATATATTATGGGAAGGGAGGTTGTCACGTTGATCATGTGATGATCTCACCTGTATCAGATGAAAACGAATGCTGATCAAGTTAGAGTTTCTTGTACGAAAGATCAAACATTTTTTTTACAAAATACACACACACACACACACACACACACAAAATGACGGATGTACATGGGGACTAATGTGGTCTAGGAGGACCATTCAGAGTACAGAAAATATATATGTGAAGGTCTTCCGAGGATCATCCAAATGACGGCAACAAGTCCACCAAATGTTCGAGGAAAAACATAGACCTTTAAATATTGGAACCACCTAATGTTTGAATCCTGGATTAGCCAATATATATATATATATATATATATATGGGTGAACTGCTAATTTAATCCCTGAATCATCACATGAGTAAAAATTAGGTTCCTAAACTATTTTTTCAGAAAAATCAGTCATTGAATTATAAAAATCTGCCAATTACATCCCTAATATTAGATTCGAAGATACTATATTTAATTTTTAGTCAATTTAAGTCACATTATTTGCATGTGATACACATTGGAGGTTCAGAGACCTAATTTTTACTAAAGTGATAGTTTAAGGAATGAATTGGCACTTCACCCTAATATATATATATTATAACTTATAACGTTGTATGTACGTTACATAAGAAGTATAATCCTAATCCCATTCCATTCCCTCCCTTCCTCTCACACTTTATTTTTGTCTTATTATCTTTATAAAAAAAAATTAATATAAAATATTAACCTGATTTTATTGTAAATGTTCACATAAAAAGAAAAAGAATGAGAGAGAGACTAATGAGGGGAGATATTTCTTATCCATTACATAATGACAGTAGCAGTCTAGGGATCGAGGCGCGTACAAGGACGTTTACCAAAAAGTCCAACTAACCCAATCACCTCAACATTCGATCATGCATCATCACCTCCAGTTTGCATTGGCCGTACGTTGTTTCCAGTGAATTTCCAACATCTCTGGTCCCATGTTTTTATTTCAAAATTACAATTTTTTTGCAAGAGATTCCAGAAGTTGTTCAAAGGACTCGCAATTTGTACTATATTTTGTTGTTAGTGTTGTCACGATGATGGCAGTGGATCCTTCAAAAATCGAACAGCAAGATAACTTGCTTTTTTATTGTCAAAGATAACTTGCTCAAATTAACGATTCTTTTGCACTAAAATTAATAATTTTAGTCAATCTACAGCACGTAGTTCACAGATTGTCGTGGCCGTGTAACTATAAGTTGGTAAGACTTTATCTCTTCATGTTATAATTACACGGTTTAAAGCAACTTACACGCCCATGAGTCCTTAATTTCGAATTTTACTTCTCTAGCTAAATATCGCTTGCTTGCGTACCTAAAAAGTTTGAGAAATAAGAAACCAACATGCAAAGTCAGGATCAAATGGAAGAAAGAATCAACATTCCTGGGCTACCACCTACATAATAATTGAACAGCTAGCTTTTTATTTCCCTACTCGTTTTCATGCTTGTGTACCATTATAATATATATATACTTTTGTTCTTCCTAAATTGTTATACTAAAAGTAATGGAATAAAAGACAACCGATCATGAAAAATATGTAAGCAAATATTTCCTCAATAATGCATGTAAATTTGGAAATTTTAAAGAATCCCTTGCAAGGTAGGGTTTCCGTCGTGCCAACAATCATCACTGCATGTTGAGTTGACTCATGCCACTCACTCGACTGCATGACCCCAAGCTAATCAAGATCCCCGGTTTGCTAAGGTCGGAGAAAACGTGTATTGTACACAACATTACTCTTATTTTGAAAAAATACTGTTTTCATGACTCAACCTTTACTTTGCAAAGAGCTTTACCCTTTCCGATGCCACTCATTCGACTGCTTAATTTCTGAAAACGACATGCATGTATACATACATGAATTATGGAGCTGGAAGTCTGCAAACCATAAAAATTTTGAATTTCAGAAAAACAAAAAAGAAGACCATGAAAATTTCCCCTAGTGGATGTGATATAAGCCTACGTTTGGCTAGCGATGTCTCACCTAAACTCTTGACTAATTGGACCCGTCCCATAAATTCGATTGTTTTGATCGGCTCGTTCTCAAGAACCATACAAATTGTAGATTTTTGCATGACATTTATTATTGCAGGTTCGTTCTCTCACACTCAGCTTCCATTATTGTGTTTTTCGTCTTTGTGGAAGATATGTATTGACCGCAGTAGGCTCAGTTGTTTTACGTACTTGTGGTTTAGAGGTTTAAACTTTTATTTGAATAATATCTTTGCAAAGAACTTGGCATTAATTAATTAGCAATAAGGAGAGTAATCCAAGCTCTTATAAGCCTTGTAATGTTTCTCATTTCGCTATTGTAAGATTCATTTAGTTGAATATCAGAGTGCGCAACGAACAAGACTAACAAAATAAGAATATTATTAAACAAATGAGAATGCTGAAACGGTTACAAAACCCTAAAGGCTACATTGCGAATGACTTGTTATTCTATAGAGTTACAAAGTACCATGTATATAGAAAATTAATCTAACCCTAATAGGCAAGGTAACGAAATCCTAATACTAACGGGCTAAGCCCAAAAAACCAAACATTAAAATAAATCTAAATAATAATATTTTCCAACACCCATCTTCAAACTCATGGCGGTACACGACATGAGTTTGCCAACAAGCAGATGTGGATGCAAGCTTCATTATGCTAATTTCCGATGCCAATTTCTACGAAAATTTCATCGGTGCAAGTGCTAGATTCTAAATGCCAATGCCAATGTCAATACCAATACCAATGTCAATGCCGATGCCGATGCCGATGCCGATGCTAATTTTTTTCCTTATGTGCAAACCAACAACATCAGCCCCTTTTTTTTTTCGCGGGTGTACGGTTGTGGACAAATCCAGATGCAGCTGTGAGACTACACAATTTCAGACTTTTTCCTAGCCAACAATCAATACCAACTAACAAATCTAAAACGAAAACACAAATAGCGGAAGATGACTAAAACAAAACTGATACAAATAAATTGGCACCCATCAACAACAGATTAAATCTCGAATGATCCAACCTGCTCTAATACCAAGTTGAATATCAGAGTGCGCAACGAACAAGACCAACAAAATAAGAATATTATTAAACAAATGAGAATGCCGAAACGACTACAAAACCCTAAATGCTACATTGCGAATGACTTGTTATTCTATACAGTTACAAAGTACCGTATATATTTTAAACTAGCCTAACCCTGATAAGCAAGGTAACGAAACCCTAGTACTAACGGGCTAAGCACAAAAAACCAAACATTAAAATAAATCTAAATAATAATATTTTCCAACACTTTTACTTTCACATCCTCACATGCCTCCTCGCTTGAGGCAAATTTTTAAGTCAAATACGTGAACAACACAAATTAGGTGACATTAAATACGTGTGTCCCGTTGGCATTCACATGTGAGCCAACATGCTCTGATACTATGACAAAATTGACATTCAATTATAAAATCAAGCAATATAAAAAGTGGCATAACCTCTTATAAGCCTTTATCAGATTTCTCTTTTCGCCAAATATAACTTTTTAACCTTTACGTCTCACACTTTATATTAACTACGTGGTTCATTCAAAATTCTAGAAGTAGCCGCGCCTTGTATGATTTGAGAAAAAAGGTGGCTGATGTCCAGCAATTAACACTGGTTTCATCCTAGCAAATGATTCAAGACAGAGGGGCTCCAGATCATTTAATTTTTTATTCTTTGAAAACTCTTTTGGTGTCAGTGAGAACCGTCGCCATCTTACAGCAAACATCTGCAACAGGTTCATCAATCATCACCTCCATACCCATCCCCCAACCCCCATCCCCAACACCAACACCCCGCAATAAAACATGTGCTTTGATGCTCATTTTGACCTACTGGTATTTTCTTGGTATGTTTAGTTTATGTATTTATTAAGCTTTTCAGCAAAAGAGAATTGAAAAAAAATTAAAAAAATTATTTATTCTCGTACATATACATAATGTGCCTTAGATTCATATTGTTGTACAATTTCACTAGTTTATGAAAAAATTATATTAAAATACTGAATTAAGAAGTCTCGTTGCATTTTTTTCATAGGTCTCCTTTTGCAATGGGACTATTTTGTTCTGATTATTTAAATTGGATGCGCGTAAACCAAGTTCATGGTGGACATAAACATCAGTAATAAATTAATTGCCACATTTTCAAACCTTCTTTTGTCAACATTTATGCATGATTTGGCTTTAACTTTCATTTAGGAGGCATACACTGTATAGTAGGCCATTGAACAGAACAATCCCTTTTCTTTGGGCTCAAGAAAACAGCAAGACGACAGCCTCCAATTAAGCTGTCAAACATATACAAACCATCGAGTTTGCATCCTTCCAGATATCTCCCTTTCATTTTTCTCTTTTTCCTGTTTTTTAAATTAATAAAAAAAGTTGCTAATTTGATTTTTCTTTTTATTTTAGGTGGTGCTATTCATACACTTATTTCTATCTCTCACACATTCTTCTCAATTTTTGATTTTCAAATCGAATAAATTGAAGAAAATCAATTGACAAAAATTAATAATAATGTATGAGAAGTTAAAATAAGTTTGTGAATAGTAGAATACTTTATTTTTTTTCTAATTTTTGCCAAGTTGTTGAGCATGAGCGCGTGATATCTTGAAGAATAGCAGGAATTGAGGACACATGTCACTATCTTTTGCACTATGTGAACCTTTTGGTTAAGCTCAACTTGCACCGCCCATGAGCCTTAAAACTCATATTTGAGTTTTGAGGCAAAGTGAGATTCAAATTTCAGTTTTAATATGAGATACAGTTTAAGGTGGAGCCATTGCCAACTAGAAATTTTTTTATTCAACCAAGAAAAATGAGATTAAACTTTGAGTCGAATAATCTTCAATAAACATAAATAAATTATTAAAACTCAAATATGAGTTTTTAGTCCAATATTTTCTTATCAATGCAAACACTCAAAAATGAGTTTTAAATCTTTGCATTATTAGATGAGGACCAAGTCGCACTACATTCTGATTATAAATATCTTTGTTCTCGCCCCAAACACAGTGCCTTTGCAGCAACACACTCCCTTTCCCTCTCTCTCTCTCTCTCTCTCTCTCTCTCACTAACAAAAAAAAAACTCAAAAACTCAGATCAGAATTATCAGAGTGGGGAGAAATGGGTGCTCTGGATGCTCTTTCAGACTATTTCACAATCTCAAAACCAAGGAAGAAACGAAAGCCAATGCAGGTATACTATACATCATCAAAACCTTCAAAACCAAAACAAAATCTCTGTTTGGCTTGTGATATTCTGCTCTATGTAGTAGTTTGCATGTGCCTTAATCTCTTCTGATTACGCTTTTTCATGGCTAAACACGTAACAAATCACATCTCTCTGCTCTTAATCTTGTTTAATTTTGCAGACGGTTGAAATCAAGGTGAAAATGGACTGTGATGGCTGTGAAAGGAGAGTAAAAAATGCTGTTACTAACATGAAAGGTTCGAACTTCTCCTTCTCTATACATGTTATTTACCCATACTCAACCCTAACTGCAGCATGATTAGGTACTTGATTAGGAACCCATGATTAATTTTTTATGATAAGAAAGAAAAAGGAAGCATATACACATGCATGTGATGATCATCAAAGCCTGGACACCCAGAGTGTCTGAGCATCCTCGTAAAGCAAAAGTTTTCTGCGACTGACAGAAAAATTTACTTTGACTCTCTCTTCTCCAGTACTCAAACATCTGACATAATAATTGAATCTTAGCTATAATATGTGGGACGGAACCCTTGTTAGTTAAACCTAGTTAGATTAATTAAATACAATATTAACGTGTTATTATGTATAAATTCAGGGGCTAAGCAAGTGGAGGTGAACAGAAAGCAGAGCAAAGTGACGGTGACGGGATACGTGGAGCCAAACAAGGTGTTAAAGAAAGTGAAGAGCACAGGGAAGAAGGCAGAGATTTGGCCGTACGTGCCTTACAACTTGGTGGCATATCCTTATGTCGCCGGAGCTTATGACAAGAAGGCTCCCTCCGGCTACGTGAGGAACGTGACTCAGGCACTTCCGGGCCCGAATGCGCCGGACGACAAGTATACCTCTATGTTTAGCGACGAAAATCCACATGCTTGTTCTATCATGTGAAGTGATTTAGAAGTAATTAAGAAGGGTTGAAATTCACTGGCTTAATTAGATTAGACTACTGTTAGTAAATTATTGTTGTATGCTTACTATGATCGATCTATGCCACGTTGTGCCTTGAGTTTTGTTTGTATTTAGGTTTGTTTGTGTTGTTTAATTTTCTCCTTGATGTTTAGGTTTGTACGTAATTAATTTGATGATGATCATTTTCGGTAAACTTTTTTAGTGTTCTCATGTTATCACGTAAAATTATTATCATTGGTGCTGTATTTCTTTTCTCTTGTTCTATGAGGGGTTAGGTTTATGTCCCCCCCTGTCTAGGTGTATCTTCTTTTTTCTTATCAATAAATTTCCCTCGTACCGCCGAGGTTCTCTAAAAAAAAAAAAAAATATATATATATATATATATATATCTTTGTGAAAAATATCTTTGAAATGGAGGAATTCTAGCGTGTGACATTTCAGATCATTGTCCATGCGGAACTAGTCACGCCAATAGAGAGCCTGTTGTATATTACTCACCCTAAATTCACCCTATTTGATGTCAAATACGGAAGGGAATACAAAAAAACTCATCTTACAAATAAGGTGATCAGGTCGTTGTATGCAAGTTTTATCTATATTATTATCTTTCCGTGCTCATTAAATATTAGATTAGGTATGTTTTGTAACACTAAAAGGGTAAAATAATACCCAATTAACAATATAAAATCAAATCATTCGACGTATGTTTGCAAATGAAACAATTAAACAATCAAATCACTGTCTCTTAGATATGTGCAATAGAGTGGCGGAATCTTCAAGCCTTTTTGTGAATTTTTTGAAAATATTCTTTATGATTATATTTGATTATTTATACACTGATGTTGCATTTGTGCCCTACCAACACCAATCAACCATCTATTTTAAATTGTTTTATATCCAGCACTTCCATTGAAGATGGAAGAAAGATGCATCGGTACTTTTCATCCTCTTCGGTTGGGAACTTTGGGATAAGGTACAAGTGCTCCATATGCAGAACAAACTTCTCCTACATTTGGCATTATTGGGCAAAAATATATTGGGAAGAATTTGATCAAAGATTCATAATATAATATAGTTTTTTAGTCAAAATAGTTCATGAGATTAGTATAACTCTTTACTTTGGTTCTCAATATTAAAAATTGATAGAAGTGGTTCATGAGTTTGTCCACCATAAATCATTTTGATCTTTTTCATGAAAAATCTTCATTAAATAGAAAAGCAAGTAAATAGGTTGATTGAACAAAAATACCTTTAATTTTAGGGAACTTTAACGAAAAACACTTGGTACTGTTTACTTTAACGAAAAACCACATTTTTACACTAAAAAGTCAATCCTGGTACTATTCACTTTACCATTTATTTTGTCTTTATCATTAAAACTCAAAGTTTTCAAACCTTTTTCATTAGTTTTCCTTTAATTTTATACTAGTCACCATAAGCGTTCTAGATCTAGCTTCATAATAATTATAGCAAAAACAGAATACGAACTTTTAAAATTTGGTCATATATATGTGGATACATGTCCAGTAAATCGTACTATCCTAAGCTTCTGGGTAGTTTCCACGTGTAACATGTAATCGCACTTAGCTTATCTATAGTCCACTTCAAAGTTTTAATCCGAATTAAGAGTAAGATTCTATAAGAGTTGCCACCTGGTAAAATCACAACTCAAAAACAGCACTGAAAGGATAAGCTCCATGTAACTTTCACTACTCCACCTACTCTGATCAGAATTCATATACAACTATAAAAAGCATTGAGAAGATAAGCCTTCATGTAACTTTCACCCCCAAAATATATGCTTAGCTGCATGCATGAATCAATATGTTATTATATATAAAAAAAATACTCACTTTTTTGGGTCATACCATATATTTGGAACATCACCAGATTTAGAAAGAGCCAATAGTATTGTGATTTCGAAACCAATAGTCTTGTGATTATATTAGTTATTCCGAAAATACGAAATCAACATAATTGACCCTGTCAAAATGATAATTAATATTGTGTACTACATACCCTCTTTCGTTTGAGAAAATTTATATACATTCGTTGCATGCAACATCTTTATAGTGTATATAATCATGGGCAGCTTATATTCAATGTCGCAGAACGTGAGAGAGATGTTGCATGCAACTGCAACAAATGCGTGCGCGAGGTTTCTCTGCTTTCGTTTACTGTACGTGTTCTTCAAAAAGTGTACCTTCACCATCAGATGAAAAAAAAAAATGCTCCTCGGAAACTTAAGGGCAAAGACTTGATGCTCATGAATCAATTAGTTCCTTTATAAAAGTTTAAACGATGCTTATGGTGGATACTTCATGCTTGGTCAAGATGCAGGTCCTTTGGCATGTTATTTTGGTTGAAAAAAAGAATATCGATCACAAAGTATAAAAGGAAAGGGAGATTCCTTGCGTTAGTCGGCTTCATCGTCTTTGGATTTTGGAAGTTTGAATTCAAAAAAATGGGTACTTCATACATACTTGTACAACATGTTCACTTCATTTATGAATATTCTTTGAAGAATGGACCTGAACACGATATCGTTTTTAAGCTTTGCCATCTTGATTTCCTAGCTTTGTTTCTTAATTATAAGTTGTAAGCCAAAAATGGACTTTCTGTCATCTCACAGTTTAACGTTGATTCTCGTGCTAACATTTGTTCCACAAATATGAGGTGACAGAGAATTCATGGAGAGTCCAACTTTTGAGAGAATATTCTTAGCATTTCTCTAATCTTGATGGTTTGAGCTAATTATAAATTCCACTATTTTATGCCCCCATTATTGCAATTTAACTCCCGTTGTAGTATACTCATTGTTGCAAGTCAAATACAAAGTTAGATTTGCCATTTTTTCTCGAGTTACATACGTAAAAGGTAAATTAGACGTTTTTGCGGTGGAAAAACATCATATGCATGCCTGGACCTCAAGTGCTGAATCCGTAGAAATTATGGCGGAATTCAACCTGTTTCGAAATTATAACATTAGTAAGCTACAACGATTAATTGCACCTAAACTACGACCATAATAAAACTTGGGCCTAAATCCTAGGTTCATTTCCTTATGGCCTAGAGTAACCCGGTAATAAATCTGGGCCGTTAGCATGGGCCCAAGAAAAAGAAGAAGAAAAATGGTGGTCGAATGGGACCTTTAAATCGATGCTTTAGGCATCACCAATATAGATTCTAAATGGAGTCTCAACAACCGTATAGTTTCTAAATATATAGACAAAAGGCTCTTAATAGGCCGGAATTGAATACCTCAAAGTATCTCAACATATAGAGACTCAAAGAGTGGACCTCCTACTAATTTTGAGTAGGAACGATGATGCTCTTTATGTTTTTTTCCTTGTATTTTGAACCCATCCACATGGGACAACTTCTCATTTAACCTTTTTCTTTCTCTTGAAAAATGAATGTTTATTTTTATCAATGGTCACAATACTCCAACAAAATAAACAATAATTTTTTAATATTTTAATCCTTACATTTAGGGATTATAATATAAGGATTTCTCATTGCAAACAATATTCTTTTAGGTATCGTTTGGTATGTAGACAGGACGGGACAGAACAGAATGGGACGGGACGGAACGAGATAGGACGAGACGGAACGGAGAGGGAGTAAAGATGCCCTCGGATGGAAACAAGGAGGAAGAAGAAGGAGATGGAAATGTTATAATTTTGTGTTCCACATATGTGGAACGAGTCGTTCCAGGGGGTGAGGAGGAACGAAAATTCACCCAAAATTCGTCCCGTGGAACAGTGCATTCCATCCGTTTTAAGCGCACCAAACGTGGGACATAACGCCTCGTCCCACTTTATTTCGTGTCGTCCCACGTACCAAACGGTACCTTAGGGACTCGAATATTTCTTTAAAGCCTCTATGAGTCCTCAACATTGGTAGTGGGAGTTCCTAAGTATGGACTCCCATTAAAGATGCTCTTAGTGTCTATGATAGTGTATTGCATTGAAAAATGGGTAGGAACAAGCACGACGACCTAAATATCGAAAATTTTTCTTATATAATAACATATAACGTACTGTTATGTATTATGGACACAATAAAAATTTCTGTTAGCAATTGCCCACGCACAAACGTTCTTTCAATTTGCTCACCCGTTCTTGAACCCTATTTATCGATGAATTTGCTTATTCGATTCGTAAAAGTTGCTCGGGACCAAAATATAGGGCGTGGAATTGAATGTGGAGGCAATGAGAGCCCTTACTTTCCTTCTTACACAAGAAAAGTGGAATACACACCTTTCACCTTTTGTCTGATTGCGTGCTGCTCTCTCTGTCTGGTTTAAAGCAACTTCAGGACTTTGAAAAATTGCTCAGAAATGGATAAAATATGACCAAGTGAGTTGGGAATTTGTGAACCATTTAAAGGGTAACAAAGTGAACTTTCCCTTCGTCTTTTCGGTTTTTTTCATTGCAATCCCTAGATACATGCTCTATTTTAGTAACTCCCCCAAAATAAACCCTTAGGGCATGTTTGGCATGCCGGATAACACACCGCATAGTACTATTTAATATTATCTGGTGTTTGGTGCTATTCCGTATTAAATTAGCACCGAATTATTTATGCAGTCTGGCCTATTTTATACGACGTACGCCGGATAACTTATACACTCCAAATCGTTGGTATTAATTAGTCTGATCGCTGAAAACAAAATCAAGCTGACTCTTTTTCCATCTCTCTTGCTAATTTTAAATTGTGAAAATTAGTGTCATAAAAGTTCTTCAATCTCCTTTTGAGGAAGTAAATGAACATGATAATCTTTGATGAATTGAGTTTTTAATCCGGTACCTCATCAAACGCCCGATTAAATAGTCAGTACACTCGATTAAATAGTAAGTACTATCCGATGACAAATTATCCTATCCGACTGAAATAATCAGTACAGTCTGAGCTGCCAAACGAGACCTTAGAGCGTCAAAATGACCACATCAACAATAACAGGAATAAAAGACAACGCAAGCATTTTTTAATCGATGTGCCAATTCCTATGTGGCATGATATGGAATGACAGCAAGACAAGATACTGTCAAATTTATTTTTAATTATTTAAAATCAAGATTTTTAATTACCACTGCATATCAGCCAAAAAGAAAACTAATCTCAAAGTATTAAAAACCATCAAACTGAAGATTAGATTACATCTTGCTGGAAGGAGCTCCTAATCGAACAAGCTGAATCCCATATCGTCATCACTCACTTCCTTGGGTTCTTCCTTCTTATACTCTGCTGCAAGAGCAGCGGCAGGCTGGCAGCTAGGGCAGCCCCACCGACACCTGAACCGGCAATGGTAACAGCAGCACTGCGGCTGCAAAACCTCAACACTTTACCATTTTTATTATGGCCTTATGGGTGGTAGAGAGGTGAGGGAGACGAAAGGAATGATGGGTGGTAGAGAGCTGCGCGGCTGCAAACCTCAACACTATCGTCTAGGGTTTTAATCTATTTTTAGTTATGAATAAATACTTTTCTTCATTATTAATTATTTTTACTCGTATTCACCAAAAATATGCTAAGTGATCGTTTTTTTTAAATTATATTTTGCAAATAACATAAGGTAACGGTTGATTGTGGACTCATTGTTTCATGATTTAAAAGAAGCAATTCGATCACCAATTACTAAACCATGTGATTTATATAAAAAAAAAAATTTCTTTAGCTTCACCATTTACAACAATGTGATGAGTTCTTAAAGTCTTATTCAAATTTTGCCGTCCTTTGGCTAACTACCCTTGTCCCTGGAATTAGGACCACTGTTATAGGAGCTCTCACAATGTTGTCAATGAGGTAAAAAATTACTTGGATATATGAATGCACTTCAATTGAAAGAGTAAAGAATCCAACTAACCCTAACTACATCTACTCTCCTCTTTATTACATTCTTAACAATTTCTTGCTTTTAGCAATAGAACGTAAAAGTATCGGCATTTTAAACCTATCACGCATTGTTACGTGTTTTGAATTTTCATATAAGGTTACATAATTCATTTGAAATATCACTATTTTAGCATTCTCGTTTCATATAGATTATTCCTTTTTTCTAAGTTTAAAATGTAAATTCCATTCAATAATTCTTTTGATTTTCATATTTAGATTGCATTTTTACACGTATTTGATATTTAAAGGCTCTACACCGTATGGGTTGAAGCACAAAAGTAGAAAATGTGAGGGAAACTTTCGGAAATAATGGTAAATGTGGGGATCCAAAAAGTGAAAAACCACTACGGTCCAATCCATTCCTCGTAACTGCAACCCTATTTGTCTTGCACCCCACGGTTCACCAACTGTGACCCCACCGCCTCCCCACTCACCGGATACGTGACCAACGGTTCAATTTTTTATTTTCAATATTTACTATTGGTGCCCTGTTTCTTATCATTTTACACAATTTCTCACACTATTTTTCAATTTCTCAGTGCGGTACTGTAACATGGGCCAGGCCGAAAACAATTTATCACGTTACGATTTATCGATGACTCAATTTGAATTTAAAATATTTTTATTTATGAGTGAAAATGAATAATTATTATACTTTTTACTCATATAAGTGAAAATAAATACAACTTAATTATAATTTTTAAATTAATATTTTATAATAAATAAGAGAAAAGAGTCGAACTCAAATAGAAAAGCCTTAATCATTATAATAATTAAAGAAAATTAATGAAAAATGTTTGAAAACTTTGAGTTTTAACCATAAGAACAAAATAAATGGTAAAGTTAATAGTATCATGATTAACTTTTTAATGTACAAATATAATTTTTTATTAAAATAAACAGTACAAAAAGATTTTCGTTAAAATTCTAAATTAATTAATCACTGACAACTTAATTTAAATTAAAACGTTTGACCTTTTAGAACCAGGTTTGGACATGTGTGTTTTTTACTTACAAAGCCCGATGGGACTTGGAATACATTATTTATTGTACCACAATTAAAATACAAATATATATGTATTGTTATTTCACAACAATTATGCCCTTTTTGAATAAAAATAAAAGAAAATTAATGAAAAGTATTTGAAAATTTTGAGTTTTAATTATAAAGATAAAATAAAAGGTAAAGTAAATAGTACTATAATTGATTTTTTAGTGTAAAAATATAATTTTTCGTTAAAATAAATAGTATCAAAAACTTTTCGTTAAATTTTTATAAAAATAATAGGTACATGTGACAAATGAGATATTTTAGTGTGCCTGCCTGATGCATGGTTATTTTTTCCTATAATTATTTTCAGTGATTTAAAAAAAAATCTTTGAGTACATTAATAATTTTTTACACTAAAAAAATATGAATTTGGACTAAAGCACATAATGAGTAATTTAATTTGATATTAAATTCGTCATTCATGAGATTCGAATCTAATATCTCTCACTTTCAAGGGAAGAGGAATACCACCAGACCATAGTACTAAGTGGCATTTTAAAACTACTTTTCAATGTTCTTGGTAAGATTTTTCTTTAAGTTTTCAATTACCTATATTATTAAATTTGATGTATCAAACTGTGTTCTTAGAAAGAAAGTATAGAAATTCAATCTGCCAAGTCGTCGTTCTTTTACTTTTTTTTAAACGAGGAGGATTATCTCCCTCCTCTTCACTCCCCTCCTACTTGAATGGTTACAGTTAAATCACGTTAATATCTTATATTAATTTTTTTATAAAAATAATACGATAAAAAATAATATGTGAGAGGATGAGAGAGAAGGGAATGAAAATATGAAGATAGAGAATCCTACTCATTTTTTTAATTTATTTTCTTTTCTTGTCCAGTATTTAACGTTAAATCACATCATTTGAATATTCAAACTTTTCTCTCCTTCTTCTTTTGTGTACCCTCAATGTTTTTCTCAAATAAAATATTGAGCTTCTGCCCTCTGGTGATAAGACCCATGTGCTTTTCTTTTGTTTGCTTTTGAGGAGAAATAAAAAAATAATTATATATAAATAAATTAAGAAGCATCTTTTTCTCTCTACTTCCAGTCTTCTACTAAAAGTTGCAGGAAACCCAAAAAAACAGTAAACTCACTCACTTACTTTTTATGTTTTATTTTGGTCAATACACGCCCAACCTTTTCAATTACGCTACCACTTCAAACCACGCAAGCTCCCAACACCTCAAAGAGTGAGAAGAAAGAGTGAGAAAGTGAACTTTCTTACCATCCAAACAGAGTTTTGAAGAAATGACCAAAGACGATGACTTTAAGCTCCTCAAAATCCAGGTCCTTTTCTATTAACCCACATTCTTTCCTTTCACTCTCTTATTTATTTATTTCTTACTAAATATTATTATTTTTATTCAGTCAACATGTTGGTCTTTTTCCGAAGGATCTTTGTTCTTGTTTTAGTTGTTTGGTTTTTATTTATTTATTTTTGTTGTTGCATTTTTACAGACTTGTATTCTCAAAGTGAACATTCACTGTGATGGTTGTAAGCAGAAAGTCAAGAAACTCCTTCAGAGAATTGAAGGTACTCACTTTTTGTAGTGTTCTTGTATTTTAATTGGTGACTAACTTACTACCACTTTCTCTTTCTAAAAGCATATTATTGTAAGACTTGTTTGGTTACTGAGAAAAGTAGAAAAAAGGGTAAAATTAAATAAAAAGATTTTACCATTGATGAATTTAGGAGTAATTTTTGCATAAATTTCTCACTTTTTCTTCAGGAAATGATTGAAATTTCTCACCCATTTCTGTTTAAAGTTTACCCTTATGTGCATTTCTTATTAAGTTTTCTTCCTTTTTTTGAAACCCAATTCTCCTGCAGGTGTTTACCAAGTGAAAATAGATTCTGATCAGCAGAAAGTCACAGTTTCTGGAAGTGTGGATTCTGCAACTTTGATCAAGAAACTGCTCAGAGCTGGGAAACATGCTGAGATCTGGTCCCAGAAATCTAATAACCAAAGCCAGAAGGGAAACAACAACTGCATCAAAGATGACAAGAACAACAACAACAACAAAGGGCAGAAACAGGGCATCCTCAAGAACTTCGAAGCCTTCAAAAACCAGCAAAAGTTTCCGTCTTTCAGCTCCGAGGAAGATGATGACTTCTTAGACGATGAGGAAGAAAGCGAGGAGGACAAGCTGCGATTTATCCGTGGGATGCTCAGGCAGCAGCAGCAGCAGCAAGCAAATGATGCAAACAATGCAAATGCAAAGAGAAATGCTGGAGTGATCAACGCAGCTGCTGCAGCTCCCAACAATGTGAAGATGATGAACAACATTGTTGAAAGTGTGAATCCCGGGAAGAAAGGTGGGCCCCCGAATCAGAACATGAAGGCGAATCCAGGCGGGATTGATCCGAAAACAATGGCCGCCCTGAAGCTGAACATCAATAACGGCGAAGCTAAAAGAGGAAACATGAATGACCTGAGTGCGATGATGAATTTGGCCGGTTTTCATGGAAATGCCGCTGCAAATGCTGCTGCTTTGGAGGCAAATCCCAATGTTCTTGGAGGGTTTCAGGCTCAGGCAAACCCTAATGCAGCAGGTTTCCCAGGTGGTGGATATACCACGGGGCAAATTGGTCAACAACACCCATCTTCTATCCTGATGAATCCAAATGGGTACACCCACCCATCACAGATGATGAATATGCAGGCTAGGCAAGCAGCAATGCAGCAACAGCCACAGATGATGTATCATAGGTCTCCCTTGGTTCCTCCTAGTACTGGCTACCACAATTACTATCCTAGCCCCGGCCCTACCTTTTCCCCTACAGCCGCCGCATACCCCTACGGCGGTGAGCCTAGTTACGGCAGTAATAACACTGCTGCTCACATGTTCAGTGATGAGAACACCAGCAGCTGTTCAATCATGTAATTTCATCAGCTAGGAAAAAACAAGCGTGTAGAGGTGTATGGGAGGGGAGAGTGAACTTCTCTGTTTTAATTGGTGGGGTTTTTAGGGCGACGAGTCGTTTGTTGGAGTGAATCTAATCACTTGTCTGTGTAATGTAATCTGTAGTTGTTGGGGTAATGTTTCCCCTTCTTGCTTCAGGACTGACTTTAATCCTACTATCCTAGTAAATAATCTGCATTGTTCTTGTAATTTCGACTTTGTAGTTACATTTCGTTTTCAAACAAGATGCGTACGAAAATAGGAGGCCGGGTGCAATGCTCTCCATCTCACTCAGTAGTACGAGTTTTATGCTAGATATAACAGTTGCAAGATCCCTTACATTGTTCGATGCAAGGTCTAAACAGTTAATTTTCCGGATCACATAGTGAACAAATGGCACTCTCATTGCATTTTGATCTGAATAATCCATTCTTTTGTGGAAGTGATTTACAAACATCGTTTTCTTTCTTTATATACTCTCGCTCACGTCTAGGTCGAAAAATCAAAAAAGAATAATCAGCCAGAAATAAACACGACTGTCCGAAAATCGTTTCCCTATTTCTAAGTCATCGGAGGTTGGGTTTTTAGGTTACGGTCGATTCGGAAATTGGATGAATTTTATGATGCCAATGGGGGGACAAATGTGGCATCGGATGGTGCATTTGTGGTCAGTGGGGAGGACTGAGGGGCATCATGGAATTTGCGCAGGGATAGGAACAGCTGGGTTGACAATGTCCAGTGGTATAAATTGTAAATACAGTATTTGCCACATGAACCAGATTTGCACGCGTATGTCACGTGCGTCTTACTTTTGAATTTTGATGTGTACAAAACTTGTTAACCGACAGGACCACAGGGCTTTATTTGCAATTCTCACTTGTAGCCTTGTGGGTGGTGCCCATCTGCAACTTGCGAAGGTTTGGAACGTGATCAATGTAAGTCAATACAGAAGTTAGACGTTTCGGTTTACAAGTGTTTTTAAAATAACAAAAAATATTTGTAATAAATTTTATAAAAAATGATAAAAAATGGCTACCTAACACAGATGATTATGGCTTAATTACCTAGCACCGAAGCTTTTTGAGATTAAACTTCACACATAGATGAACTTATTGAGCCTGACCCGCCCTACAAACCTAGATGGCTAAATTGTGGACGTATTTGGTCAGATTTAGTAGTGAGTCCATCGTGCAACACATTGTCTTTCTCTGTTGGCCATGGAAGCATATAAACTAAGTTGAAACGCATTATTTATTAGCTAACAACTTTGGTTGATATTGATGAGGCCTCCACCATCATATCATATAATATCATATATATACATTTTGGCACTAATAGTACTCACTGCCGTGAGTGGTAGCAGAAGTGCTTTTACACCCTGGAGGTCCACACTAGAAGAGGAAGGGCCCCTTGTTAATTTTTCCATTCAACCACTCAAGTCATACTCCCCCCCACTAAACATATATAAACTTGTGATATATTTGACGGCCAAAGAAAATAATAGAATGTAATGATGAGCAAAATATAATTATCAGCCAATCGTCAACTCGTGAGTAAGAGCCTAAGACGTCTTAGGGTCGAATTTCGTTTGTGGCGAGTTCAATAACAATTTATTCTTTCATCTTTTTATTATAAATATTTTTTTTATTAGTACATCAATATTTTTACATTAGGAGGATGAAGAGTTCGGCTAAATCACAAAATAAATAACCTAATTTGATATCGAATTTGTCAATCACGTCCAAATACGTTGTTGTATAAAAAATTAGACATAACTCATGCCTATTGTATCACGGACTGAATATCGATCTCGGATCTATATCATAATCAGTGGGGTCACAAAACCACTCTAGATGAGTTTCCAAACTAGCCTAGTTCAATCCAATGTCCACATCCCAATCCAAACCAGCCCATCAAACGTGTGCATTCCCCCATATCAATTTGGCAACCTAATGTGTCCAAACGAGGATAAAACTCGTGCAGCTGCATTCAAACTTCGCCTTATGTAAAGCTATAAGTTTTTTTTTATTTATTTATTTTAAGGAAATTAGTTGATAGTTTTGTCACGTCAATTCACTATTAAAATATCATTTGACAAAATTAAAAGGTAGCCAAGTATTATCCTAATTCTATTTATTCCTAGGAGAGAGTGGCATTGCACTATGATTATTTTCCTTTATTTGCTTTTCAATATATTTGATAAAAAATTTCACCTTTATAAAGAAATATATTAACATCCTAATTTTATTTTTCCATGAAAAAAAAAATTTAACATCCTAATCGAGATTATTTATGGGCCTCTTTGCCTTGGTCCTCATCATGATTCATCCAAAAATAACGTCATTCATTTAATTACAATATTAATTAAAGAATAAGAGCAAAGGATACAATAAATTTCTGTTCATAAGAAAAAAAAATTGTAATATAAATAAAAATATGATAAATAAAGAAATTCCTAACGCCTTTGTGAACACGTCCATGTGCTTCTTTTCTTTTCGTTATTTTTTTTTAATTTTCTGAAAACACTAAACGGAAGGCTCTCTTTATTGACAGCAATTACTTTGTTTATATATACAAGACCGTGGATTGCATTTGTGATAGAAAGAAATGAACACGAAAAGAAATCTATTGCCAAAGTTAAAACTTTTAACTCATTAATTACAGAAGTATCAGATTCAACAATTGAATTACGGAAAAATATTGAGCCATGACATGGTGAGTTAAAACTCCATTGGTAGCTAATCTAACATAATATATCGTTTGACAAAAAAGAAAAAAACAATTGAATTACGTGACAATATTTGATTTGTTTAATCTTGGTATTTACTTTATATTTTTATTTATTACTATTATGCAAAGTGTTGACACATTTTTGGTGAATAGATTTGGAAATAAATCTGGTGATTAACAAATAACAAAGTCCATAAAAAGAAATATGTTTATATTTATATATTATTTTTACTTGCCGTACAACCTCAATATACAAGAAATATTCTCAGACAATCAAGTACTATCCCAAAGCCAAAATGGCGACCAAAAGAGGAGGAGGGAAGAACAAACCCAGCAACCTCAAAACTCATTTACAGGTAAACCGTCACGAGATAAAACCATCACCAAAGAGGGAGGAGGCATTGCTGCCCATCGATATGAGCTCACGCTCAAATTGGCACAGAATGCAGAATCCAAAGGGGAAGAAGGGACCTACAGGAAATGCTGCGTATTTTTTAAGATAAACTAATAAAAATGGCTTGAAAACTTTGAGTTTTAATGATAAAAACAAAATAAATGGTAAAGTGATTAGTACCAAGATTGACTTTTTTAATGTAAAAATGTGGTTTTTCGTTAAAGTGAACAGTACCGAAAACTTTTTGTTAAAGTTCCCTATTTTTTGTAGAGTGATGTTAGATAGATTATCTACCTAAATTATTTTATATACAATGTGATTTGTCAGTTAATGATTTAATTTCTTTATTAAATTATTACAGAAAAACTTTGTATCTAGATCTACCAAAATATGGTTTAAAAAGATAATTTCTCTGTCACTGAGTATTATGATCTAATGATATTATTCTTTATTTGTAAGTGAGAGATTTTAGATTTGATTCTCACCAAAGGCAGATTTGAACCACATTATTGCTAGCTCATTGTGAGGTTAAACACACACACTTCCTTTTAGTGCAAATAATATCGTTTTTAAATAAAAATAATAATTTCCCTAACATTTTCCGTTCTGTATAACATTTTAACAATTTTTTTCTTCTTCCTTTAACATCGTATCCCAACAGACCAAATTAACCGAAGAAAAATAATTAACACGCACCTTATTTAATTTTGATCATTGATTTTATTTGATTTATTTAATATAATGGCCAAAAATCAAGAAAAACACGTGAGAAACAAAAAATAGTATGTGAAAATCATGTCCCTTAGCCAAATACTTTCCTTTTTTCTTCTTTTTTTCCATTATATTCCGAGTCCGACGAATCCAACACATCCAAACAAGAAAACGCTGTCCAGCCTTTTTGCCTTTAAAACAACAGACTCTGTCTGTCAACTCTCAACCTCCTCCTTTCCGCAAAACACCTACTCAGATAAATCACTTTTCCAATAAGCACTTATCTCTCTCTCTCTCTCTCTCCTCCATGCAACCGAGCTAAGACAGAGAGAGAGATGGTTAGTGCTCATCAGAGAGTTTTGGTGTTATTAATATCTTTTATCGGGGTGCTTTTGGAGACTTCAAGGGCGGCAGAGCAGCTTGTAAATCTGACCAGGCTGCACATGTTTGTGGATGAACTTCCCGATATGCCTCTACTCAAAGGCTTTGATGTTGTAGATGGTGTTCCCAAACCCAAGTCATTAAAAATTGGCATGTACATGAAAAAATGGGTAAGCAACTTAGCCATCATCCAATTCGCATTTTTTTTCTAACTGTGTAATGTTAGTGAAACTGACTATTTAGATCAAATTTTGTAAACTGTATGACGTAATTGTTGATAATTAGATTTTTACATATATGTTGATTAACGCGTTTATTTTAGATTGATGATGAATTGCAAAGGTCTAAATTTTAGGTAGTTAGGTAGACTAAATTTCATATCTATTTTGCAAACTATCACTAATTAAAAATAAACACGTTAATTAACACATAAGTAATAATCCAATTATCATAGCTAAGGTCGGATCAAGTAATAATTTAATATGCACAGAAGGTCACAGAAGGTGGAACCAGATCCCCTCCTGAGCAAATCACACAGACAGTTAAAATTTAATCCAACAACTGCAATTATTATAACTTTTAAAAATGTATTTGTAGTTTTTAGATCAAATTTAAAAAATTATGATCCTTTGCTCTGACTTCCTAAGGTCAGGAGGGGATCCGGTTCAACAGAAGGTCACCAACCCAATTCCATATTCACAGTTGTAAAGCTGCTTCCCGTAATTTAATTATTAGTGAGCTCGTTTAGACCGCGACATAAATTCCGATGTCGTTATTTTGGTCTTTTCCCCATTTTTTATCCATTTTAGCCCCTTTGTTTGTCAGTGTAATCTTTTTATATTATTTTATTTTCTTTGCAGAGATTCCACAGAGACCTTCCGGCGACGCCAGTGTTCGCCTACGGTACACGTAAGCGCACAGCAACAGTGCCTGGTCCTACAATCGAAGCCCTCCAAGGAATCGATACTTTCGTGACGTGGCGTAATTACCTCCCCTCCAAACACATTCTGCCTTGGGATCCCACCATTCCAACGGCCCTACCCGCTACCAACAAGGGCGTTCCTACTGTGGTGCACCTCCACGGCGGCATCCATGAACCCGCAAGCGATGGTAGCGCAGAAGCATGGTTCACCGCCAAATTCAAAGCCCGTGGGCCCTCTTGGCCGAAGCGAAGATATCGCTACCGCAACCAGCAACAACCCGGGAACCTGTGGTACCATGATCACGCCATGGGCTTGACCAGAGTCAACCTCCTCGCTGGCTTGATTGGGGCCTACATTGTCCGTCAGCCGGAAGTCGAAGACCCGCTTCGACTCCCAAGCGGCGAATTTGATCGAACGCTAGTGGTGTTTGATCGTAGCTTTCGCACCGACGGTTCGATATACATGAACTCGACCGGAAACAATCCCTCCATACACCCGCAGTGGCAGCCGGAATATTTTGGTGACGCCATTATTGTGAATGGGAAGGCATGGCCGCAGTTGAAGGTACGACGTCGTAAATACAGGTTCCGAATTATCAACGCTAGCAATGCGAGGTTCTTCAGATTCTTCTTCGCCAACGGTTTGAGATTCATCCACGTGGGGGCTGATTCGGCGTACCTTGGGAAACCGGTGGGGACCAAGGACATTTTGCTGGCGCCTTCTGAGATCGCTGACGTGGTGGTTGACTTTTCGAAGTCCAAGAATGCCAACGCTATCCTAGCCAATGATGCACCGTATCCTTACCCGTCGGGTGATCCCGTTAACACTGCTAACAGTAAGGTCATGCAGTTTGTGATTGTTGACCATTCAGAGCTGGACACGTCGCACGTTCCAGCGAGGTTAATTCAGTACCCCGTTCCTGATTTATTGAGTGCATCGCGCACACGATACATCGCAATGTATGAGTACACGAGTGACGCTGATGAGCCGACACATCTTTATTTGAACGGGAAATCTTATGAGGCACCGGCAACGGAGATCGCGAAAGCGGGGACCGGTGAGGTGTGGAACGTGATCAATCTGACGGAGGACAACCATCCGTTACACATTCACTTGGGACTGTTCGTTGCATTGGAGCAGAGGGAGTTGGTGAATGTAGAGAAGTTTAAAGATTGCATGAATAAATTAAACGACGCCGTCAAGTGCCAAATAAGCAAATATGCCGTTGGCAAGAGAGTAGAGGTGCCAGCTCACGAGAAAGGTTGGAAGAATGTGTTTAAGATGAGACCCGGTACTGTGACAAAGATATTTTTGAGATTTGCTTACATACACTCGAATGCATCGTATGAGTTTGATCCTACTGCGAAGCCTGGTTACGTGTACCATTGCCATGTAAGTATGGTTCTCTAAAATTTTGTTTCACTTACACTATGTGTGTTTTTATTTTATTTTCGTGTCAGCGATATATTTTGAACTACCTCTAATATGGTGAAAAATTGTTAATATTCATAGGGTTTGACATGTAATGTTAATTTGTTCTATTTTTGTGCAGATCTTGGATCATGAGGACAATGCCATGATGAGACCATTGAAAATTGTCCATTGAGAAGATCGACTGGATACGAGAGACTCCCGGATACAAAGTGATATATAATCGTTTACACAACAAAATCTCTCCACCAAGATTCATAGACACAACTTTGAGTAATAAGGAACTCCCGCGGCAAGGCAATGTGGTATTTTTGTCACAAATATTGATTGTTACAGCTTAAGATAGTAAAAGAGTGCGGAAATCATTTTCATTACTGTTATTTTTCTACCTTAGCACACTCTTTAAAATGAACAGAAGCTGTATTTTGTAGGAACTTTGGGCTATCGCGAGGGGTTTTTTTTTTTTTTTTTTTTTTTTTTTGTAACTTTGGGCTGTTGGCCCATTGCACCAAGAAAAAAATGGATGCAATCAATAAAAACAATTTGCAATGCTTCTTGATATAGATTTTTTCCTTTTTTGGATCTTTGAGGAACTTTTAATTTGGTGAGTCTGAATTTTTTTTCAAATGTGTAAACTTGTTGTACCCTACAAATTTTTCATCATAAATTTGCCGATTTGGAGTAAATGCTTCATAAATGAAAGTAGAGGAAGATATAACATAAGTTCGAGTTCATTTGCTGGTGATCTAAATCACTTTAGCACTAGATAGCGTTTTTTACTGTAATAGCGAAAACTAATTATTCTATAGAAAATTAATTTTGAAAAGATGTCGCTTTTAAAAAAACAATTTTGATTTAGGAAATTTACTTTAAAAGACGAGAGTCGACGGATAAAATTGGAAGTAGACCTGGCATTTTGGACCCGACCTAACCCGTTAATATTAGTATTTGGGTGAATGCTTAACAGGTGAACCCGTTAAATAACGGGTCACTTTGGGTCAACCCGTTAGACCCGTTAGTTAAGGATGTTTTTGTAATTTCAATAAGGTCTTAACAACAAAAAGTAAACTCTATGCAAAAAAAATAAGGGTAAATTGCCAAAATGGTCCCTGAGATTCCAAATCAATAAAAGTGGTCCCTGAGATTGTCCATCATCCATCATTTTGGTCATTCCGTTAAAAATTCTGTTAAGTGTCCCGAAGCTCTTGACCGGAAGTTTGTGCAATTTTCAAAGCTTCGTAACTCAATCATTTCATAACCAAATTCGACCCATAATATATCAAAATGAAGATAGAAAAGTGTAGAATAAGATTATACCTATTTCAAAGCCCAATGGTTGCGGAGGTGGCTGGAAAATAGCCTCAAAGTTGACTGGTCCGAGTGAAAATTTGAAAACTTCCCGAAAACCGGGTAAACTTTAAACATTCATAACTTCTTCAATACCCAACGAAATCAAGTGATTCAAAAACGAAAATCATACTTCTCAACGAGATGAAGAGAATGATATCTTTTGTAATGGCTAACTCGCCGTGGTTTTGCCGGAAAATGGCTCAAAAGTGGCTAACTCGAGACTAATACAGCAATTTTCAAGTTGTTTTTTGGCCAAATCACGACAAGTTAGCCATTAAAAGAGGTACCATTCTCTTTGTCTCGTCGAGAAGTATGATTTTCGTTTTTGAATCACTTGATTTTGTTGAGCATTGAGGAAGTTATGATCGTTTAAAGTTTATCCAGTTTCCGGCGAGTTTTCAAGTTTTCACTATGACCAGTCAACTTTGAGGCTATTTTTTGGCAATCTTTGGCAACCATTGAGCTTCGAAATAGGTATAATCGTATTTTACACATTCCTATCTTCATTTTGATATATTATGGGTCGAATTTGGTTAAGAAACGATTGAGTTACGAAGCTTTGAAAATTGTCCAAACTTCTTGCCAAAAGCTCTGGGACACTTAACAAAGTTTTTAATGGAATGATCAAAATGATGGATGGTGAACAATCTCAGAGACCACTTTTATTGATTTGGAATCTCAGGAACCAAACTGATGAGTTATGCAAATCTCAGAAACCATTTTGCGATTTACCAAAAAAAATAAAAATAATAATAATTGTTAACGGGTGATCCATTAGCTTAACGGATCGAATTCGGATGATTAGTTAACTTAACGGGTCGGATTGAACCCGATCCAAACCCGAACCGTTTACTGGTCCAATCACGGCCAGTCAGGAACAGCGTGAAATGGGATAACAGGGCTGCCTCCGAGTTCCGTCGACGGGGGGAAACGAGATGACAGTAATTCTGAGCCGTCCGTTCCTCTCCTTGCCCGTCCAAAACCGACGCTTCAACAAATCCCGACCGTCCGCTTCACCAAGCATCTCATGCTTCAATTCCCGGCACTCCTTCAAGGTCAGTTAATTACCACCAAACACTCCTCCCATTTATTTGAATTAAAACTAAAATTGTTGCTCTGTTTGGATACGGTGATTAAGAGAGACTACACGAGCGTAATGATAGTCCCCACCGGGATTGGAGCCGCCATCGGCGGATACGCCGGCGACGCCCTGCCCGTCGCCCGCACTCTCTCCTCCGTCGTCGATTGCCTCATCGCTCACCCCAACGTACGTATTTTAAACTTTCAATTCAGCGTTTTGAAGTCCCTAATTTGGCAGTCTGCGAGTCTGCCACTGTTACGTTGACTAACGTTGACCGTCGGGGCAGGTGCTGAATGCGGCGATGCTCTACTGGCCAATGCCGAATGCATTGTACGTCGAAGGCTATGCCCTTGACCGCTTTGCTGAAGGCCTATGGGGCCTCATGCCTGTTCACCAAAACAAGGTAATTTCGGAAATTGAAATTTAATTTTCTCGACACATTTTATAGGTTTATTTTACATAGTGTTTGATTTGTGAAGCAGGTGGGTTTGGTTCTTGATTGTGGCATCGAGGAGGAGCTTCGTGTTCGCCATTTGCAAGTGGCGGATGCTGCGAGGGCTTCCCTTGGCTTGCCTGTTGTTGAATATGTTGTCACTGACACTCCATTGCAGGTACTAATTTAGCTGTTGAAACTTGGATTTGATTTTGTATTGCGTTTATCTGGTTATTAGGTTTTTGATCGTTAATTGCACATTATGTATGCCTTTCAAGTTTCAATCTCATTCGAAGAAAGCGCTTGAAAACTCGGCAATTGAAAAGAGATTTGGTTGTTACCAGCTTCACTTTTCTTTGCTGCCAAGCATGTGTTTTCATCTCAATAATTGTGACTGCACGAGATTGAATGGGACAAGTTTTACAGGTAGAGAAGTGGGTTGATCCAAAAACTGGGCAATCAACAGGGAGGATTAAGCACCCTGATTCACTATTGAGGGCTGTGCAGGCTTTAGTTAAACGCTCGCAAGTAAATGCTGTTGCAGTTGTTGGACGCTTCCCTGACGATGATGATGTTCAAGACACAGACGATTATCGACAAGGGATGGTACGTTAAATTTTAACAACAATATAATGCATGTTCTGTATTTTTACGTGTAAACTTTCCTGAATTGTTGAACTCTCGACTACAATTTTATTATGCAATAAGTTGAAGCGAGCCAATTGCTTATTACACTTGGTTTACTTAATTTTGTTACAATGAGTCCGTTGAACATGACCCTGAACAATAAGTTTCCAAATTTCATTTTTGGGTAGTGGTCCGGTTTTATATAACATTGAAAATAGGGAAGATGCCGACGCTGCTAATATTTTTTCTCCTTCTCCCTCCCATTTCACCCTTCTATACTAACGTGCAATTCAGGATACAAGTGTAATAATAGGAATTGAAACTACTTAGACGCATCATGTGTTGTACAGGCATCGCTCTCTAGTATTTGTGGTTATCACATAGCCACGCACAACCATAAACATCAATTTACAGTTCAAAACTAATCAGGACCATGATTAATATAGGGAATGAGGTGATATTAATGATTACATACGAACGTTTTGGTTTGTTTGATATTACACTCTACTTCAGACATTACCTTCAGCAGCAAGACTGAAGGCATACTGTTTATTTGTATAATGTCCACATCTCATTTCACTTTGTACCTTACAGGGAATTGATCTATTGGCAGGGGTTGAGGCAGTTATAAGCCATCTAGTGGTGAAGGAGTTCCAAATTCCTTGTGCACATGCTCCTGCTTTATCACCCCTTCCCATGACCCCATCTCTATGCCCAAAATCAGCTGCTGAGGAGGTCAGTAAATTTTTGCATAACTCAAAGTCTCGATGGCCGGTCTATGAGCGTTAGGAGATAATACTCGTATGGAACATTGGAACATTGGAAAAAAAGAGTAGAAATGATAGAATATGATATCGGTGCTCTTCTGGAAGGTGATTTCTTTGTTCTCTCTTTGTCTATGTGCAAACAGTTGGGGTACACATTCTTGCCATGTGTGCTTGCTGGGCTTAGTAATGCACCACAGTACTTGGTAAAGAACTCTGAGTCGGAGAATGGTTGCATACTTGCTAGTGATGTTGATAGCGTCATCCTTCCTATAGATGCTTTTGGAGGACATGGCGCTCTTGCTTTTGCACGAAGCAAAAGAAACAAGGTATAATCTTGGAAACTGAGGATGTTTTGCCTTTTGCACGTATCAAAAGCAGATTTGACTGATATCATATGGTTACTTTTTCCCTGTGATACTAATTCTAATTTGATTACAGCCACTTATAATTGCTGTGGAGGAAAATGTAACAGTCCTTGATGATACACCAGATAAATTTGGGATTGAAGCGGTATGTATCCAAATGTGCAATCAAATGTGTGCACATCCCGTCTTCTCATTTTTCCCCCTTTGGTTGTTGGGACTTGGGAGTAACTTCTGGGATGGAAGAATTTCCATGTCTCTTGTTCTAATTTATGGTGTAGTGATCTGTAGATATCATTATTCATTTGTTCTGAACATACGTACCCAGTAGGAAAATGGCCTTGCTTCAACTCATGGGCTTTATGTTTCTGAGCTAAATGGAACTTTTCCTGCAGGTCAATGTCTCAAACTATTGGGAAGCAATTGGTGTCATTGCAGCACACAAGGCTGGAGTAAATCCGCATTCTCTACGAAGAAATAGGATTAAGAATCTTCAACAAACTTCTCTGTCGCCTGCCAATGGTTATGCCATTAAAATGCCACAGTAATCGGCTGATTAAAGTAGTTACATTTCCCTTTCCAACTAATTTTTTAGGCTTTAACCATTCAAAATTTGAAATATCATCGTTCAACACTTGAGAATTTTATCACGTTGGATTAATGGTTGAAGATTCAACCTGCTGTTCTCGTAAAGATGTTGATGATTTTTCAGTAGGTGGAACGGATGCAGCTTGGTGGCTTGTTGAATCCCCTATTGACTTTTAACCAGGTGAATCATCTGGTCACGAATTAAGCGCCTTTCGACGTGGATAGGCAGCACCGAATACCAATTCGTCAACCTAAATGTTGATGGAACGTGAAACTACAAGTCAATGGTTGTCTCGCATTTGTTTCGGTACGTTTTAGATCTTGATCAGAAGTAAATTAAATCAACTGGTGGTGAACAAATTTTGTACTGAATTTTGATGTGAATGCTGATATCCATATACATATATAGATATATCTGTTTGTTGTATACAAATATACATATAGTTGAACGATGACCATAGAATCTGTTGGTACTGTCCTTGTTCTTATCTGTTGGTACTGTCCTTGTTCTTATCTTCGTATACATTAGTTGCACGATGACCATAGAATCTGTTGGTACTATCCTTGTTCTTATCTTAATACCTGTCCTAAAAAAATTGGGACAACTCTCTCCACCCCCACCTGCCGTTCAAAACTGGGGTTATTGACAATACAGAGCAGAAAGTACAAGTTTGAAGTGTTTTGCGAGTTTTGATTTTTATGTTACAGTTTACAACAGGAGTCTTGACTCTTGAGAGGTTCAAATCTAGAAGCTGCCTTGACAGAGTAAATATTGTTCATCTTTTGTCGAAAAGGGCAGTCTGCAAGGATCATAGATTGTGCATGGACTTTTCCTTGTGCTGGTAAGAGCATTTTCAAAGGAGATATAAAAAATTATACGCATAATATTATGACAAAAAAGAGTAGTATTTTTATTTCAAATGAGATGTCAAAATCCTACTTGGATCGATATTTTCCACTTTGCTGCCAAATTTGAGGATGGTGTCAAATTTTTTGTTTGTTTGTTTTATTTTAATGCTAGGTCCATAGATGTCTTTATTTTTCTTCACTTGTTGATTATTTTATTATTAAATTTTGACTCACATAATTTTATAAATAATAAAAAAGCATTGGAGACTTTGCAAAATGTAATTTTGCCCATCAACTATAAAAATGAAATTTTGCATGCTTCTCGATAAAAACACTTTTGTGGCATAAAAGTACTATTGGATTTTTCTGCCAAATACAATGAATGATTTTGGTTGTCAAAAAACTATTTTTATCCGTTATAGTAGTAGTCTCAAACAAGCTCGACTTTCTAGAAAACCATAATCAATGCAAATAACTTTGTAGTTGATGCAAGATAAAGGGATTTAAGGTTGTGATTCAAGAATCCGGATTCTAGGATTCTCACAGGATTCTCTTTGTGAGCACAACCAGTACTTGACAAAAATTGATCGTACAATGCATGATAAACGGATACAATTCATGAATCTCTAGAATCCTCGAAAAAAAAATAAAGACCCAAAGAGAATCCTGTCTGTTATTTCAGAAAACCTTAACCTATGATTTCAGAATCCAATGTTTTGATTCATCGTAAATGGGTCCACGAGCACTAAAATATTGTCTCAATTCAAATACAAGAAAAACCTAATAATCATTAAAAGAGAGAAAATATATTATTCTATATGATGAGTTGAAAGGTAGATATTGAAGGTGGAGGTGCTTATCCCGTTATCCGTGACTTAGTACTGGCGGTGGCCCGCTGGGAAATTTTAGATAACATGCATGAATGACAACTGTGTTAGAAATAATAATAATACAATGTGGATTTGCAAACGTGAATCATATGTAAGAGCTAGCTTCACCATGTGATTGTTTATATTATTTCGTACAGAAACGAGTTTCTTTGTCTTTGTATACTATTTGATCTCACGTCAGTACAATAATTAATGCATTAAGTTTCAGATTTTATGAGAACCCGGTCTATGTTGTAAAACTCCTCTTCGATCAAACCAAAACAATCACCCAAAAATGAACAATGGAAGCTTACTTTATTGATTTATAAATTATTACAAGAAACTCAAACTCACACAACTTGTTTCTTGCCACATAAGTCTCTCGTACTATATTCCACTATCCTCACCCTAACGTTAAGGTTCTTTTATGGCTAAATTGGATTGTTCATCCCCGTGGTCATAGGACACTTGCATGATGACCCCCGTGGTGAAAAAACTAGGAATTAAACCCCTGTGGTCTAGAATGTTAGCAAATTTAGTCCAAAAGTAAGATTTTTGTTAAAGGACTGTTAAAAGTTGGGGTAAAACTGTATTTTCAATTCCAATTGACATTGAATTGTGGCTTTTTTTTAATTTAAAAAATGCTTATTTTTTTTGTTAATTGTTATAAAAAAAATTATTTATTTTAAATATCAATTGGAACTGAAAATACAGTTTTACCCATACTTTTAACAATCATTTAACAGAAATCTTACTTTTGGAATAAATTTGCTAATATTCTTGAACACAGGGGTTTAATTCCTAGTTTTTTCACCACGGGGGTCATCATGCAAGTTTCCTATGACCACGGGGATGAATAATCCAATTTGGCCTTCTTTTATATACTAGTTACAAACATAATCCTAAACTAAGTTGGAATCCTAAACCTATTTGAAAACTTGCGTCCAAGTTTCCCATACCTATTACAATTAGGACTCCTATCTCAGCTAGGAACCCTTTCTTGGATTCTATACCAATCTTCAACAAACTCCACCTTGGTAAGAAATCCATCTAGAGACTTCATCTGCTTCCACTGCTCCACCATTTCCAAGTATTAAATCTTTCTCACATGCACTAAATCCAGACAATGGTTGAATTTTGATGCACCAACTACCTTTGTTAACATATCTGCAGGGTTATCAGCCGAAGCAATTTTCTTTACAAGAATTTCACCTTCAGCTATAATTTCCCGAACAAAATGATATCTCACATCAATATGCTTGGTCCTTGCATGATGCACTTGATACTTAGCCAAGTAAATGGCACTTTGACTATCACAATGGACGTCCATCTTGCGCTGCTCTATTCCCAAATCTGATAGTAAACCAAGTGTCCAAATAGCCTCCTTGATAGCTTCAGCCATTGCCATATATTCAGCTTCCGTGGTTGATAGAGCAACGGTTGGTTGTAGTATTGACCTCCAACATATAGGACCATTAGCCATGGTAAACACATACCCTGTGGTAGATCGTCGTTTGTCTAAGTCAGAAGCAAAATCAGAATCTACATAGCCAGTAGAGAACTTCCCGATTCCTCTATCATTTCGCTCAAAACAGATTCTGGTGTTCCTTGTTCCATGCAAGTATCTTAGTATCCATTTAGCAGCTTCCCAATGCATTTTACCAGGATTATGCATAAACCTACTCACTAATCCCACTGCATGAGCAATATCAGGCCGAGTACACACCATGGCATACATCAACCCTCCAACCAAACTGGAATAAGGAACATCCTGCATCTTAGTTCTTTCTTCATCACACTTAGGGCATAGCTTCGTGCTCAACTTAAAATGAGGGGCTAGAGGTGTACTTACAGGTTTGGTTTCATCTAGGATGCCAAACTTGTGTAGCAACTTTTCCAAATATTGTTTCTGCAATAAACATACATGTCCTTTCTTTCTGTCCCGTGTGATTTCCATCCCCAAAATCTTCTTTGCTTCGTCGAGGTCTTTCATTTCAAACTCATTTTGCATCTGAGTTTTGAGCTTTGAGATCTCAGTTTTATCACTGGAGGCAATAAGCATATCATCCACATAAATCAGTAAATAAACATATGTACCTCCCCTTGCTTTCTTGTGATACACGCAGTGATCGTATTGGCTCCTGGTGTAGCCAAAATCCTTCATAACCTTATCGAATCTCAAGTACCATTGCCTCGGTGATTGCTTTAAACCATATAGAGATTTGTTGAGCTTGCATACCAGATTCTCCTTTCCTTTCTCTTCGTATCCTTCAGGTTGACTTATGTAAATTTCTTCAGATAGATTTCCATGCAGAAAAGCAGTTTTTACGTCCATTTGTACTAACTCGAGATCAAACTGCGCTACCAGTGCAAGTAGAATTCGAATGGATGAATGTTTTACCACTGGAGAGAAGATTTCATTATAATCTATACCTTCCTTTTGAGCGTAGCCTTTTGCTACTAATCTGGCTTTAAATCTTACCGGGCTTGCATTATTTATTCCATCTTTCTTTGCATATACCCATTTGCATCCAATGGCCTTCCTTCCCTTAGGTAGCTCCACCAGATCCCAAGTTTGTTTCTTTTTAGTGACAACATTTCATCATCCATAGCTTCATGCCACTTCGATGATTCTTCACTACTTGCTGCTTCTTTAAAGTTGGTAGGGATATCTGTTTCGATTACTGGCAATGCGTATGCCATACATGAAACACAATCTTGGAACTTAGCAGGAAGCACAACCTCTCTTTTCCCTTTTCTCTTGGCAATACATTCTTCTTGATCTTGGACATTATCAACCATACTGTCTTCTTCTTGCTCTTCTTCTTGATCGTCACATTTTTTATCTTCATTATCTATTTTATCTTCGAAACTTGATTGTTCAGTTTGTTCCTTTGATAGCTCCACCTCATGAACAACCTTTCTATCTTCTCTCAGTTTCATATAGGTTTCATTAAACGTCATATTTCTCCTTATGACAACCTTCTTGAGTTCTGTACTCCACAATCTGAACCCCTTGACGCCACTATTAAACCCTAGAAAGATAGCTTTCCTTGCTCTCGGGTCCAGTTTATTCTCTTTCACATGGTAATAAGCATCACATCCAAATACCCTTAGTCTTTCATAATCTTGAGCTATCTTGCCTGACCATACTTCCATTAGAGTCTTTCCGTTTAAAGCTGAAGACGGAAGACGATTAGAGATGTGACATGCATAACTCAATGCTTCTGCCCAAAAACGCTTTTGCAGTTTTGCCTGTGACAACATACATCTGACCTTTTCCAATAGTGTTCGATTTAACCGTTCTGCAATTCCGTTCTGTTGGGGAGTTTCCCTAACACTAAAATGTCGTGTGATACCTTCCTGCTTGCAGATTTGAAAGAAGGGATCAGACGTATATTCTCCCCCATTATCACTTCTTAAGACTTTCAACCTTTTTCCAGTCTTCCTTTCGACGGTGTTTTTCCATTCTAAGAAAATATCCAGTACCTCATGCTTATGCTTTCATCATATAAATCCATGCTCTTACGTGAATAATCATCAATGAATGACACAAACCATCTCTTTCCTCCCAGAGATTCATTCTTCGCAGGTCCCCAAACATCCGAGTGTACATAATCCAGGATACCCTCAGTTTGATGTATTGCAGTTCCAAATCTTACCTTTGTTTGTTTGCCAAGAATACAGTGTTCACAAAAATCGATCTTCCCACTTTTGGCTCCATCTAGGACCCCTTGTTTAATCAATCCTTGCAATGCCTTGTTTCCCACATGTCCTAGCCTCATATGCCATAGAGAAGATGTATCTGATTGATCACTTGCTGCTAC